CTGTAGAGTTAATGACAAGCAACCCTATGCCAGCCCTTTCTAACCTTAACTTGCCTGGTTACCCAAAAATCAATACCCTACCCAACTTGTAAGCTCTGACGACAAAATGCACATTAAAAAGACTCAGATAATTGGTAGCGTGCACCAATGAGCAGTATACTTGAGTAAAATACATAGTGAAGGGGAAGGATTGAGAACTCATCTATCCAGTCAACCTGAAATACAAACGCCGAAGACGAACATGTTTACAGCACAGCGGAAAAGCTAGAAGTGGCGTTCAAGCCTTTCTTTATGTGTTAATGTCAAAAAAGTTGAAACATCAGATAGTGCGCTACAAGCCGATACGAGACATGTGGAGGGAATATTCCGCTGAGGGATATCTGACAGGCAATGGATAGAGGCACACACGACCTTATGGAGAGGCTGGGCACTTCAAGGTCACTTATGTATATTGTGATTGGTAGATTTACCTTTGCGTAAACGCTGCGGCTAATATGTAACAGACATTACTGAGGCGGGCTTTGAAATGATAATAATAAAAATCGCATAAACATTACATTCTTCAGCTTGATGAGACAAGTTAACATATGTAAAATTTTACAGATGTGACATGCATTGGATCCATTAACAAAAAATATTATTCTGTAACACAATCAAAGAGGTATAACGTTTGAAGATTTAGTCTTTTTTCAGCTAGTTGTAACGGACGGATGGGAGAGGCAGTTGTGTAATATATACATTTTGCAGAAGGCAAACTGTGAGAGATAAATCGAAAGTTCTATAATTCTTCAAATGTGTCATAGAATATATGTGCCAATCTTACCGATTATTCTATTGTTCCTTCCCTTGTTCACATATTTATTGTGGCTAAGATAAGGAACTGTTCGCCTAAGGTAAGATTAATTCACTTGATATGTATACGATTTGATAGTGTGGAAAATTCCCATATTATGAATGAAAAGTCAATCTGAACGAAGAATATTCTTTTCAATAATTTCTCTTCAGGTTCTTACAATTATAAAATATAATATTTGTTGTCGTTACAATAAAGGCCAATTATGCGGCAGATACATTTTTAACGTAGAATAACAGATTAGTTATGGGGTGTCAAAATAAATAGTCGTATTTGTGTGAAAAATGTGCTAGGCTGAATTCGATTACAAAATATTGTAAAACGGGAGACAATGGTGATTAATCATAAAGATTTGTAAAGTGTGGGGTGGGAAAATTGACAAGTCAGTTCAAGGTTATAAAAGGTGTCAGGTGAGTGGCTAGTACAAAGTGCTCTGTGTTAAACAGGAGATAGTAAGACTGCAATCGGAGGTTCATAATGAGATAAAGAATGTGTGAAATGAAAGAGGTGGAGGCATATATTGAGAAAAGGGATAATATCACTAGTAATAAGTCCGGATAGTATAAACGAAAAAATTCGATGGTATTGAGAGAATGTTTGCATGAAGGGCATAAATTATGACGAATAATAATAATATTAATAATAATAATTGTAATAACAATATTTGTAGTAATAAGCTAAGGAAAAAGAGACAATAGGGTTAAGGGGAAGGAGCACTCTTTTATTTTGACACCCCATAACTAATCTGTTATTCTACGTTAAAAATGTATCTGCCGCATAATTGGCCTTTATTGTAACGACAACAAATATTATATTTTATAATTGTAAGAACCTGAAGAGAAATTATTGAAAAGAATATTCTTCGTTCAGATTGACTTTTCATTGATATGTATACATCCCTAGATATTTCTCAGTGCTGCCGGAGGTGGTCGAAGGAATACAATCTCGATCATTGCATGGAAAGATCATAACCAGTTTCTTCTGAAGTATCGGGTGGTGCTGGAAGCTGTAAAGACGGGTCGTGTCTCTGTCATGTGAGGGAAACTGGTCCACATATTGTGGATAAAACGATTAGTGGACTTTAATTTGACTATGATGTAGCCATAAAAATCTACAACTGTAATTTTTTCACTGAATTGTTATAAACCCTTTTTAACGTGAAAACGTACTGCTTGACTGTTGTTATTTTGTAAATATATGCATTTATGTCGACTAATTGTATCTCTCTTATTCATCATTTCGAGGACATTGCATAATTAACGAAATTGATAGGCAACGTCGTAATACTTGTGTGAAGTGCGTCATAGTCGTAAGCCGTTATTATTTCCTCAGTGCGTCATCAAGCCCCGCATGAAATGTTTCAATTACATTTAGTCCGGTTGCGCATAGTATAAATATGCATTAGTGTTGAGAAGAAAAGAGCGTCAAACATGTGTTTGTATTGTGATAACGAAATATAGCAACCGTTTTGTAAAGTACTGTCGAAGTCGTAGACCGTTATTAGTCCTTATGTGCATGCAAAGGTTAAGTTTTACTAAATCCGACTGCGTGAAAGATTACCTTTCATCAAGGCTACCGAAAAATTATACGTTGAGCTTAGGTTTGTTATGCATAATAACAAAGGTAGGACGACTACGGTCCTCGAAAATAACGTATTATAGGTATATCCTATTTAAGATAATTATCCTAGTATTATTATACTGCACAAATTATCATTCTTTCGAAGTAAATCATTACGCATTCCAAAAACAGCTATATCACTATTCCTTCGACAAGCAAAACGAAGTAGTAGTACAAGAATACCGTGAAAACTTTTAAGAAATATTTATTTTAATGAACGATTTCGTAACATCACAACGATTCCAACGTTAACACGAAAATTCTTCAATTGCACTTCATCAAAGCTTCCAAATCAAGTGAACAATCGCGTAAATTACAATTGTAACCTGAAAACCAACGACAGTGATACTTCTGTTAGCAAATAATTGCCAATACAAAATTGTTAAAAAGCAAAGGACATCTTAGTAAAAAATTTGTGTCTTCTGTGTTATGTTCCGAATAAATCAACTAACACTCCTCTATAGCTGTAAACTCTTCTGATTGTAACCGAATTTTCAGAACTCAGAGATTCAAAGCACCACTTCGGAATTTCGCAAAATATACTTCATTTACCTAATTTATTTCGTTTTTATTAACGTACTCAACAATTTACACAGAATTTTAGCATTTCACATGCAATGAAACAACGAAATTTGATGAAAAATACGTGTTCACTCAAACTGCTGAAAAATGTATACTTTCCACCATTTTTCTAAGTTTTTTCCTTAAAATATGGTATTTATAATGCATTCTAGTTGAAAAAACACCAGATAACAACGTGGAACAACCCAAACACAACTTCGCGATAACACATAACGACACCCTGTGTGTGCCTCTATCCATTGCCTATCTGACACCAAAAAATAGTTTAAATCTTGCGAGATGATAGTGGATGAATAAACATGACCCTGTCCTGAATCTGGTGACCTTTCACATTCGATAAAACAAACGTCCGATGAGATAACACGTCACTTTGTGTCGCATTATGAATTTGTTAGTATTAGTATGGATTTATACCTACCTATGTTACATGAAAGCCGAATTAGGAGACTAAGAATATACTGTAAGCCTCGTGGTCACTTCTTACACTGCAGATCATGCGAGAAGTGGGATTCGCATTTCGTGATGAAGTGTTAAGAAACACTCTGGATATAACTATTTGTTACATAACGCTGAGCACAAATCAAGATAGACAAGAAAACTTTGTCCTAAAGAAATGAGTATAGGAATAAAATGAAGAACTAGCTGAGATTTCCAGTCACGCTGAAACATCAGGAACTCGGAACAACACCTAAACTCTTTGAAGAGGGCTAATTGAATAGGTATTATGTGTGTTGTAAGATGATATATGGATATTGATTGCGGAAATTCATCCACTTCATAACTACAAAAATACTCACGATTAGGTCATAATCCTCAATACCCTGTACAGCTTTCCTCACTTCGTGTGCGAAATTTACCTAGATTTGAACCACAAATCTGCGACAAAGGAAAAATTGCACATTTTGAGATGAACTTACTTATGAATACGCTCTCCTACTTTGTCAAGTGACCCCTTGGAGGAGGATAAAACGAGTGATGGCGTTCTGCAGTTCCACCTGGACAGTGGTATGTATTGAACAACAGCGAAACAAGGCCACGATAACATTTAATCATCCAGGATGGAATTTAAATTTCATAGTCTCCCTTGCCAAACCACTCCATTTGTCAACCGTATATAAACATCAGATGCATGTACGCAAGATGGCCGTAGAGATATTTTAATCGTTTGTATATGTTAATACAGTGAGTTACAACAGGAAACAAGAGAGTGCTAACCATTTCCGACTCGACACTTTAGCCTCAGATCATTTTCTTGCTTCACCCTGAAGTGGAATGACTGCAACGGGAAAACTTAGTAATATGTGACATGAGAATGGGTTGCGAAGTGCGATAATGCACACCCCAGAAATACAGTAAATGCTGAGAGGGCAGGACTATGGCATGTCTAGCAATAATACCCTTCGTGTAAATACAGAAACCCGCTGGAAACCTTTTAAGATACGTTACAAATGCTAGCCTTGCTAAAGGTAGTATACCTAATTAATCATTAACCTAATCAGTACACTATCTGACTTGTAACCACTGATAACAAAACAAATTAGTAAACTAAGAATGTACTCTGGCGAGCCATACATTTGAACAGAGTAAAATGTCGCGGTTTTTCGGAGAAAAATTTTATATCCTATTCAGCTTAGCTAAAGAATTAGTTGATTTGTACCACCAGTACAGAGGAGGACTGCCGGACTGTGCCTGAGTCTGGTTCGACGAGTACCCATTAAGAACAAAACTTAAAACACTTAAAGTATCTGCAGAAGGGTTAGACGTTTATTTAGTTAGCAATAAATATTATTATTCGGGTAGAAATCATGAAAATTATCACTTATTCCCACGGCTCATACATAAGACTGGTAGCTTAAACAGCTTAGTTTTAATCTTCACAGTGGCTTGTTTCACGTTGCACATTTGATTTTTCAGGCGACCTTCATGCTTGAAACTTTGTAGTACCATGTCGAGCATCTTTCTTTTTGCTCAGGATCGTGGGAAAGTTGGAAATTCTTACAGTCAGCTGCAAAATGATTTACATGAGAAGTGAGTTTGAAGTATTCTGAACGTATGAAAGCCGAGATAATCTTTCGTATGTCGTTACATCATGTCCCTCTCTTATATGTCTTTAACTAATGTAGAAACTACTCACATTCACCTTATAATGAATAAGGCCATCTACATGTCCAGATTATCGATGGTGCTAAGTGTTAGAGGCCACTTGAAGTTGTATTGACTATGCTCATATTGACAGGTTTTTCGTCAACTGCTGTGTTTTAAGTGCAAATCGCAAAGCCCGTCTCAACCTAGGTAGTCAGTTGGAACAGTATGCCGTTACTCGCGAATGGAGAAGTGCCTTGTTGGTTTTAACACAATTATTATTTCAAGCGTCTCGGATTCAGTTCCCACTTGTGGTATCATCAACGAAATGGCTTGGATAATGGTGCCTGCAAAATGAACCCCGAATAACTGAGTTCTGAGAGCACAAAGAATGCATAATACATTAGCTACCATTAGTTCCAAAGAGATTTTGGATAACTATATTCATATGACGGTTTGTTGTCATGCTGCACAAGTGTTTTTAATTTGCTATAGCACTACTTGGAACTGTTAATCGTCTGTCTGCTTCTATTAGTGAAAAATTCTGCCAAATGATTGTGTCTTTGTTTCTGCCTTCCTTTCTTTTGCTATCCATTTCTTAGCCACATTAATGCTCCCACTATTTTCCCAATTAGTTTATCATTGCTGTACACTCAGTGCCCTAAAATATCTAAATGCTTTGCTCCTGAATTTTTAATATATAACTAAAGTTTATGTAATCTCTGAGTCTTATTTAACTGACAAGAGGGACCCAAGTGACCTCGTAAGACATTGCTGCACGATTCATTTACCCTCTAGATCATGGGAGCTGGTCAGTAGACTTCTGAGCACTTTGAAAGAATTTTAGTAGTTCGGGAAAAATTCAGGAAAGATAATTTCATTGTCGAATCTCTTGTAGGATGAGTCGCTCAGAATGGCAATAATAGCATCTAATTTAGCTTTAATCAACCCAGCCCATTGGGGAATGGGAATCATTGATAAACATTCGGAATGGTGATTACCAAAGTAGTGAGTTTGCAGATTAAAGCTTCTCCCACAAATTCTCTGCTGTTCATTAGTTTCTTACTAATAATTTCTTTCTTTTAAAAGGTTAAAGGAAATCTCAGAACAAATCAAACGAGATGGGGTTTCCATTCCCGATGTTTTGCGTCCATTAACACGAGATTCTATTGCTCAGTGTGTGATAGGCCCGTCACATATTGCTTTCCGTCTAAAGGTAAGTTTTGATATAATATGTATTTATTATGTTAGGATGGTCAAGTTTGTCGTGTGGCTTATACCATAAATTCAGATCGTTTATCTCAGAAGTCTGATAAAAAGTAAGTGAATAACTTTAGATTTATTTCAAAAGGAAAAAGCAAGGGATATCTTATAGTGATTCATCTGGCGCTGTTAGAGAGGGAGCTGCGGCTCGTACTGGAAATACCCAACATGCGGGTCGTTCATACAGATCACCTTTAAGTGTTCTTGGTAGAACCTCCCGAGGGATTAGTTTCCTACGTGAAATGCACCGTCAAGGAATTTACCTTGCAAGACCGGTTGCACACCAAATACCTGAAAGCGAAATCCCTGAGGTTCTTATTGAGGAGTGCCAAACGGTTTTACAAGTAAGTGTGATGTTTTCTCTATACTTCATACGTGTATCGTACGGCCCAATATTGATAACACTCGAGCCTCAATATCTTCCTATCACCCTTACCATTTTTCTAGAAATCGTGTTTATTTGTAGTGATGTTATACTTTCCTAAAATTAAATCACTACTTATCTATATTCCATGATTATTTCTAACTGTTGTTGGTCATTTTTTCTCTCCAGCAAACTGAAGTATTTTAAAATTGCAATAGAACTATATGCTGTTTTTCAATGATGCAACTTGCTGTTCGGTTAAACGTTAGATTTAAAATATACACTTAATTTTAGGGGAAATCGCGTCAAGTAATTGTGCGTGAACTGCAAAACACAAATTTGGACGTCAATATGGCGGTGAACAATCTGCTTTCACGTGATGACGAGGCAGAACAAGGCAACGGAGGAAATTCCAGTGATGGCAATGCTCAAGGAGGTGGTAGTGGGAATCCAGATGACTACTACTGGGACGACGAAGCAGTTGAGCTGTTATCATTTTTTGAATATCCGGATAGTCATGGGATTTTCGAAAATGATGGCTCAACTGCTGATGAAACTGCCGGACCCCCAACATCACCGCGTTTTCGTAGTGATTTGACATCTGATTACGGTGAGTTGAATGAGTCATGTTTTATTGCATAAAATTAGCTCCCCGCAGATAATCCTAGTTGATACTCTATTGTTGTATTAATTGCTATTATTAGCATCCCACTAGTGTTTTAGAAAAGTGGACGATATGCTTTAATTCTTATATAGGGTTCAAGTGTAAGGTATGTGTTAACATTATATTTCGTTTGAAGTCTAACAGATTTTGATGATAATATATGTACATTAAAGAGACACTTTTTGGGTCCCGCAGGAAATTCATAATTTAGAGTCGTAAAGTGTTTATGAAGCATAAAAATTGCCTGCGATAAATAGCTTGGGGTGAAAAAGTGACGTGTAGTATATACTTTACTTGTCACCGTAAGCCACTCTTGTCGCAAATATATTTTCGCTACTTCTTCTGGCTGATAACTTGTACAGTCAGCTTAACTTACAACCCCTTTGAAAACGCTCCGCATCACATCCCTTGCACACAATATTTCATAGAATAAGTACTTAAAGATTGTAGTATTTATCAGGACATGTTCCTGATTACTGCGGATTGGTGAGTAATAGATTACTGCAGTAACTTTTATGTTTATTCATTTAACTTGTAATTTGTTCTCTATGGGTGTTCCTTTTGATAAGAAGCTGAACAACATGCCGGTGCGGAAAATGATGCTAGTTAGCGGCCGCCATACGAGCCTTTTATATCCGAACTGAGATTTCGTCAGCAATCAGTCCATTCAGGCTCATGCAATTTCCCAAATAAGTGGAGTGGTCAAGACATTCAGTCCTTAAACAAGGAATTGAATAGGCCAATGTGAAATTGAAAATCAACTTTTCTCAATGAAATATCAGTTTATTTTTATATAACTGCTTTATTCTACCTATCTATATTATTTGTAATGTGGTCCCAGTTCGGCTAATTTCTCAAGCTTTAAGTCAATCTCTTTTGTGAACATATAATTCCATAACTGCGTGATTTTTGACTTTTTGTATTTGCTATTTTTAACCATCATTCCTTCTTTCTATTCAGACTATAGTTTCATTACTGATCGGCGCAAACGTCGGCGAATCGATCCTCATTTGTATAGCAGAAGCGGTGAACTTTATACTGGACGCAATGCTTCTGTCGTCAGTGACTCCACTTTCAACAGATCTGTTACTGATCCGTCGAGAAATTCAAACACTTCAGATTCAGTAAGATACCTTTGTTACTTCTATAATTTCTGTATATTTCACATAATAACTGGCATGGTTAGTGTCATTTAAATTTCACCAAATTCAATGTTTCTAATGTTCCCTGATGTAAATTAAATTCCTGGTTGTCATATTGATATAGTGCCAGCTAATGCCAGTGTCTAGACCAATTAAGTACACTTTTACTTATTTACATGGTATATTGTAATGTTCAACGCAGTATTGTATGATATTAAGTTTTAAACCATTATTTTCTCCCTTTTCAGGTAAATGATAATGCAAAACAGTCTACTGGCTCTATTCGCTATTATGTTCAGCTATGTGATACACTTGAATTCTGGCCAGATCCTGACAATTCTGATTTAAATTTACATTTCGTACATATCGTTGCTCTACATTCAGAATTAGTTGCCTTAAATGCCTGGGGAGAACTTCATCAATGGCGATGGGCAGATGCTACACCCTTTGTTATGCAAAATACTAGTCATATGAATTCAAAAGATGTTAACGATAAGAAATCGACTCACATTTCGAACGTACGTGTATTACTTGATCTTGCAGACTTTTTAAATGTGTAAAATTTTGTGAAATTTATATCCTTATCCAACCAATCAAATTGATTTTAGTCTAGTGCATTGAATGCTGTGCATTTATTATACAACCCTTTAAATAGTGTTGAAATGCATTAACGTTTCCTAAAATATTCATTTGTATTTTGAACAGTGAATCACTCAAAAGTGAAGGTTTTGTTGCTACCGTCACAATCCTATTTGATTTTCTGTTCTTTTTCATTCTTTGTGAAGGTTTCAGAAGGAGAGCCAACAGGACTTGGAGAACAAACTATTTCCAGAGTGTATCACCCACGAGTACTGGACCTTGGTTTAGTGGAAGAGAAAGTTATCAAACTTTCTGGTTGTGCTACACGAGCAACCGTGTTAACAGATACTGGAAAGTTCGCCACATGGATGGATGAGAGTCTTATCCAATCTTTACCTGCTTCTTCATACCCATTAGGTTCATCTTCTGGTTCTTTGGGGATAGAGCACCGAGTTATTTGGTTTCCTGAGCTACGTGATGAGGTGATTAGTGAAATTTACACTGCTCCTTTAGTGACTGTAGTCCATTGCTTGTCGGGCTCGGTGTACTGGTGGTAAGTTGAGAACATTTTCAGACTTATGTTATTCCTATTTTGTGTATGGTATTTAGCTTGCTACTAAATCATTTCCTATTGTTTATTTGACTATCCAGTCAGTTTAATGAAGAGTCAGTTGCTACATCTAAACTTGTAAATGCTAAAATAGATGTTTTATTGCGGTTGAGAGAGAAAGAGAGTCTTAGTGTTCATCACGGATGTTAAATTTGACACAATTTGTTTCAAAGTTTATTCAGTTTTATTTTAAATATTTTTTAATTTACTTTTCTCTAGGGGTGTATATCCTTCTTACATGCGACAGAGGGCGATTGAAAAACTAAGACAAAATCGTGCTCCTACAACTCCCAAAAAGGGTAATACACCATCTAAGAATTTAATGAAAAATCGATATTTTTCATCTCTGCAAAGTAATAATAACACCTCTGTTGCTGAGACGACAAGTTCTAATACAGGAGAAATCAGTGCACAGAATGTGAATGATATGTTTAGTTCTAATGCTGGTATTGTACTGGGTTCATTTGTTTGCATACGCAGTGCTCCAATATTTCATGCTGGAGCGATTGGTTTTACTGTGATGGATGGAGTACCAAAGGTATATTCGGTGTTATTATATTCTATTATAAATTTTTTGATGTATTAAATGATTTCAAAGCCAGTTATTCCAAGTAGAGGATTTATCTGTTTTCTGATATCGTTGTGTTGCAAAACTTATGTTATTTCCAGGAGCTAGTGTACTCTCAAATGATTTTCAAAATAGGTGAACTTAGAATAGGCCAAATTTTAATTACTTATGCATATAAATACACAAAATATTCGACATGGTATGTTTTTAGGTGAGGATATTAATGAATTCATGTAAATGTCTACTTGACTTAGATTGAACTGTAACATTGTTTTGAGTTAACATATCTGTGATAGTGAACAAAGTTTTCAAATCAACAGCTAAAAATGCCTAGCACACTGACAAAATTGTTTGTTTTATTTATACTCTTATATTACGATGAGTATGTCATCTAAAGATTCTGTCGATACTTATTCCATAGTCTTCATATATAATTGTGTAATTTTTATCTTTCCAGGTAGGAACACTTCTTGAAGATGCTTGGAAAATTACAGATGTTTGTAGATTTCGAGTTAACACAGTTAACTCTTCTTCATTTATGTCAGGAATTAACGATGGTCCACTCCATCCTCCTGTTTTATCCTCTGATTCCTCTCAACACTTACTAACCTGTCCATATGCACTGGGTGCATCCATTTCCAGTCAGTCTAGTTCAGGACAGTGCTTGGGGTCGTTGGTTTATAATTCCTCATCGACTCAGTTATCTAATGATCAAGTACCTGCCTCTTCAAGTGGAAACAATTCAACATTAACTTTCCAAGAGATGCCGCCCCCACCATCACCAGCTTCGTCTACATGTAGTGATCAGTCGGGTCCAGTAAGAGTTAGTCCTGGAACATTTAGTGAGTTCAGTTTGCATGTGTCTAAATTTATACTGTTATACATGCTCACTTTCAGATTTCTAAATATTTGGATCTATAGTAGTCGACAGTTTCTGATTAGGAAATGTGCATTTTTAAACGCTGAAACCTCTGAAGCGTATGTTTTCGTAAGATATTTTCCTGTTAATCAACTTAATCCCTTGTCTTGCTTAATTTATTCTGGTTCAGTAGTTTTCAAACGTAAATTAAGAATTAATTAGCAGTACCTTCGGTTATGACTAGTTCTTTAGCTATATTTCCGTCTCTTATTTCGTAACAATATGCATAAATTCGACATAAATTGCTTCTTGCTCCAATAGCATCTAGGGAATACAGTGGGGAATTTTTAGCTTAGTGAATAGCTGTGGTTGGTTTGTCTTGCCAGCCAGTTTATAATTTACGGTATGTGGGTTCAGTTTGGTCCGTCTGCTGTGATACAGATACCCAAGAGACACGGTCTGATGTTTCATTGATGAGTCGCATTCCCATTGTTTACTCTTATTATCGTCTGTTCAGCCGACCGACATACTCTTATTTCACATCAATTAAGACCTTTCTCAACATATCTTACTCTATCACTCATAGAGACTGTGATGGAAATATTCTTATCGGGATAATCAACGGTGACGTTGAGTTTTTGCAAACCTGATAGTTCCTACCCTCGATGATTCCTGAAATAAATTTCACTGGCTTTTCTTTATCAACTCAACTGATGATTAACACACAGAAATTTGCTCAATAACAGGGTTATCAGGAATGACTTTGGAGATATGCAACTGAAAGTTTCAGTTACAAGAAGTAATATCCATGTAATGGTACCAGTTTTGACTAATCCGATAGTGCATTAAATCCGGTTTTTTTGGAAATCAGGGTGTATTTTAATGCGATTGTATTTTTAAGATCAGAATTTGTGTATCGTTTTGGCGCATTTTGTATTCTATGAAGACGACATTCCTTGATTGTCTTTGTGCTTTTTTTTTACTTTTCTCTTTTCTTATAGAGAGGAAAAAGGTTTCTAGCGTGTCAGGTGATCGTAGCGATCGTGTCATAGGAGACTGGGATATTGGCAGTCAGAATAATGGTCGCAGTGTACGTGGTCGATCCGCCGATCGAGATTCTTCCTTTAATGTTTCAACTGGTGCTACAACTAAACGTGGTTCTACTGATTTAAATAATGATACCACTGATATGAATACTAAGTCAGACGGAGGATATAATAGAGCATCCGGTAATAGTATTTCCGAAGAAGACTGGTGTTTGAGTGATGTTGTTTTCGTCGAAGATGGTCGAACTCAACCCGTGGGTATTGTGCTTAAAGTAGATGGAAATATTGCTGCTGTCAAATTCTTGAAGGTATAGTACTCTACCTTTACATTCTCTGACAAACTTCATCGTTTGATTAAAGACTAACAAACGCATTTTATTGTTTCTAGGAGCAGGAACGTTTATGCGTGGCGGCTAATTGTCCATACTCGCCTGTATGTACTCTGATAAACAGCATTTTAGGTACTGGCTCTTCATCAGCATCAATGACACCAATATCTACAGATCCGATGAGTTGGCTTAATGTAAGTTTCACTGTTGTAATCCTTAATGTCTTTGACTAATATTTTGGATTAATGAGTAAATCATGTAGAAATAGTTAAATTCATAATAAGTTTACAATCAATTTTGTAAATAAATAAATATATATATACATATATTACATAGAGAGAGAGAGAACTCATTTCTTGGCAGGGTCGATTTAATGGGAAAAGATTCCTACACATTAAGCAAAAAGCTAATAAAGTGACTTTCAAAAGATTTATTCACTTATCAGTAAAAGCTTCATTTCTACATTTGTTAAAAGTTTTCACAAATTTATCTGTATTATTGCTATTCAGAAGTTAGAGTGAGTGACATCCATAACTTCAAATGCTGCCTATTAAGTACTTATTTACATTTTTTGCTTAATAATAATCATGTGATCATGAAGTATATCCGTGCCTAATTTGAATTTATTCTTAAAAGCACTTGTGAACACTGTTGATTGGAAATAATTCCGTATAATTGAATTTGTTTTATTTTGTGCGCAGGATTGCAGATTACTTCGCAAAGAGGACCTAACCATCGTTCGAAATGCAGGATTAGTGCGTGTTCCTGATGTGATTCAACGTACCCCTAGGCGGGTGTTCACCTTCCCGAGTGGTGGGTGTTGTCAGCGTAATTCATGTGACTCCAAGAATTCGAAAACATTATCTTCTGATCCTCCAAAAATCTTAGCGATTGCAGCAGAGAACAGCCGTATTCATGTTATTGTAGGCCAGCGAGAAAGTGGATCTCATCAGCCTACTTTTTATCAGGTTTACAATTTATCAGGGAAGCTTATAATTAATCAGAAAATGCCATTTGGTGCCTCTGCTTTCAAATCTGTCTCAGAATCGAAAGATGAATCAGCCACTATAGTATGCCCAGCAGAAGTGAGTTCACCCCCATCTCGCCTATTATTTGCATGCAGTGTTTATGACTTGTTTCAACACAACCTTGTTGCATTATAAAGACTAAGAAACGCTTTGCATAGGTACACATACAAATAGTTTAAATATACGGAGAGAGTATGTCAAAGCAATACCATAACGGTTGTGTAAATCTCAGCAGATGAGGATTATTCACGGCCTTGTATTTTTATCCACATGAGAAAGAAAAACAGGGAAACTCCAACAAGATCTCAACCGATTTCGACTCAGTCACACCTAATAATATTTCGGACCACTTACATTATGTATTCTCTCAAAACGCAATTAGGAGATCGATGTATACCAAAGATGCTAATCCGACGCAAAATCCCTCATCTCGCAATTCTATTTCATTGGCTGACTATCCTATATATTTTTTCAAACCTATCCCAGGAATAGTAAACTGTCAGCGCGATATAGAAGCCCTTTTGGGACGAGATTAGTAGAATACACTCGAATCTCCGAGATGAGATAGTACTATATGTCCTTTCGAATACCATTCAACTTTATATTACCTTTGTTTTCTAGCTCACTTTATACTAAAGATCGACTAGATAGGTATTCAATCAAATATTTCTGACTTCACCATTTGTCCACTTTCCCGTTTGGTTACACCTTTGAGTATTATGCTCCCCTAGGCTAAATTTACTTTTGATTAGTTTTTAAAGTAACGGGAAATTTTTCAACGGAAGCGAATACATTGAACTTAAATTCATTACACGTCAAGTTCACATTGTAGTACTGAATTTGAACTGTCAGTTACATTCTTGCATCCAGTTAATACACCTTCGGTAGATTGTCTTGATTACCAGTGGTTTAATTGGATATTCTATTACGTGATCATATAGTCAGTTGTGGAGTTGTAACTTACCGTTTTGGACTCTTAATCTCCAACCACCGGGTTTCTAGTTCGAACTGGCCTTCACCTAATAAGGTTGGAAAAGCAGCCAGGTAGTTTCGTTAACCCTCACACAGTTGGTGTGGTTGATTTCCAACTGCATGTAAGTGCTAGTAGTTATTAAATAATCTTTTAATTATATATAATCAAATGACTTTGTTTTGTAGCATCCACTGCTGTTACGAGATCCTGGTGGTCTTGTCTTACCATTCATCCCACCTTCAAGAATCTGTAGTCATGAAACATGGATTAGTCCATTTCCAGTTGATCTTCCTCCTGTTCAGTGTGCTTCTTTCTCATGGATTAGAAATAATTTGCCGTCTTCTGGAGCCTTAGGAAATACAAATGGACGACAGTCAACAAAATCACAGAGTGAACAACAACCACGTTGTCTTTTCGGTTTAGTGGTTATTCAAGATCAAACTTTAATGCAACACATTCTGCGAGCTAATGATGTCCAGATTGAAAGATTGGTATGTGTTCGTGTTTGTTTGTCTCATCACTACTTCTGTAATATGGAATACACTTATTGTTGTAATAAACACAATGAACTGTTTCATTATCAATCATACTATTTATCGTTGATTGTAACGTTTAGGAGAATCTTGACTTTGTGACGTGATCTTGTTGTACAGAGATTATTATTAAAACCAAGTCATTACTACGGTCATGACAAAATTAAAATCTCACGGCATATTATGGTATTATATTCCGGCATTAGTACTTTAATGTTTCTAATGCCTGTTGCAATTTGACTGTGTCACTTCGAAGTAGATTAGTGGAAGATATGAAACGCCTAGATGTCTTTGATCATACGTATTTGCGTTCTATCTCCTGCGTTAGGTAGTATACTAGTGTGCATCGAGTGTTAGATGAGGAGGGAAAGTTAATTGATGGGGTTGTGAAGGTACGTCGATTGAGATAGTTAGGAGATGTGTTACGCATCGCCTTCCTCGACGGTCATTGCTAGCTGACATAGGATCGTTTAGGTTGGAGAATGGCTAGTGGTGGTCGAAACAAAAAACATGGGATCAGTCCATTAAATCTTTGACAGTTAGTTTGAGTCACGTGGGGAAATGCACGCTGCCTGGTTAGGGTCATTGGAATACTAAAAACCAATGACTGGAGAAAAATGGCTTAAAATCGTTCTTAATGGCTCAGATGCATTCCCGCTTTGTGATCAGTCGTGTCCATTAAACTCTCGTTTTTCCACATTCCTGCTTACTATAGTTCTTTTGAATCTTCTTTTCCCCCTTTTGTTTTCCTTTGTGTGCTATGTGGAGTGTGGCAACGTGAGTTGGTGTACTTCTGTGAAAAGTTCTATGTTGAAACCAGTCAGTTAGATTAGTGGATTGCATTTATTGGCTAAATAAGTTAAAATAGTAACATTTCTTAACTTCATAAAGTGAGAAATTTATGACTAGTAATTTGCAATAGGGGCTATCGCTATACTATTCAAGAAAACTATTCTTAAAAGCATTCTACTCTACCTATAGGCGAAACACACGGAACTATTAGTTTTCACTGTCTAATGCCTACCAACTTGTGTGAACTGCTTTTTCCATAGTTGAAGTGTCAGGTGCAAATGAGAAAAATAAGGCGTGAAAAAGTAACAGTCTTATTTCTTATTTTGGGTTGTAAGTGAATTTCCGTCATAAATCTTATCTACGATGACTTTTCATTCATTTTTCCATGGAAATACAGGCAGTACTTCCCTCTGATTCTACGCCTTCCTCTGCATACCTCTAATATTACCTTCCACTGCAAATAGAAATAAGTGCATATCGGAACTTGTGGAATTTATTTTTCCTTAGTTGACTGACAGTATTAGAAAAGTTTGTTGTTTTGTGTAAGAAAATATTTACATTTTTTTCTGTATGATTTTATCTTTGAACAGTTGGCTACTGACTTATCTTCAGGAGAAAGTCTTAAACTAGCTTGTGAACTTGCAGACGGGCGGCGTAATCTACTTCATATGGCTGTGTCGATGTGTGCACCACAGTCGAATCGAGAAACAACTACAGAATGGTTATCAAAGCTTGAACCTGTTCTTGCCTCTCCTCGTTTACGTCCTCCTCCAGTTGAAGATAAAGACAAATCTGACAAGGAATCTGAATCTAAGGATACTCCTGCAATTAAAGTAACTGCTTCGAATAATTCCAGCCATCAGCCTTCATTTTGGTTAGTGATACATAATTATATTTATACAGTATTAATGCATATCACTTGTTTTGCTTATCGAAAAATTATATGTTTTCTTACCCTATTGTTTTCAGGTTGTGAACTAAAATAAAATTTTCTCATTTTATTGTCATTCAGATATAAGAAAGTAATTTATAGTTATCTGCTTGAATGCGTTGACCACTATTCAAACATTTATAGACTAGTGAATTGTTTCACAATGGCTAATCAGTCTTTATTTAGTCACCAAACTGATCACATTACTCCTCATCGATACACTACTTCTCAAAACAGTAAGCGTCAGTGTTAATACGAACACTAGATGTGAGGAAGGTTCTATAAGGGATATGATTTTGTTATCTTTTGCTGAAAATGAAATTCGTATTCGTAGTCATGATTTCGCTTGAGCTTGAGCACGGTTCTGTGTGTAAATTTTCCAGATGACTCACTTCTTTCTGTAATGTGATCGTATGTAGTGTCTTAATTGTATAAATTGTAAACACATTCATCATTATTTGAGTGTCTTGTGTTTCCTGAACACTCAACAAGATGTTAAGTTTAACGAAATCTCATTCATTGTTTACAAGCGTTAGATTTCTGGATCATAGTTTTACTACCCAGCTGTTCAAGCTTAGGTATTGGAAATTGAATTCATGAGAGATTAAGTTCAAGTTAAAATTCTTCATTTGTTGGTAAATGTTAATGCATCGCTTGAATATATATATATATATATATATATATGTTCTGTTCACATACATGAATAAAATAAATATGTATTAAGTTTAATCATGTGCGTCGGTGGCACAGCGGTTAGGATGCTCGCCGACCATGCACATGGTCTGGGGTTCGATCCCCGGCCGACGCATTCCTTTACCTCGCTAAGCCAGAAATAATGCTGGTAAAGAGGAAAGGTTGGGCATGAGGCTAGCAACCCTATCCTGTAAAAATTGAACACTGCTACAGAAACTTCAAGCTACTAGCTTGAGGCCCGATGTTCCACTGGGAAGGTGAAGGAAAAAAAGTTTGATCACAGATTTATATAAGTTAGATAACCACTGAAAACCAGGGAGTACTGGACAACCACTTCTTCCTGGTCTGGGACTCATTGATAGTACGCACCCAATGGGTTGGGACCCAGGACCTCCCGGTTACAGAGCAAACTGGTAGATTATTCAGCCACTGAGACCCGACTCGATGGCCAGTCCATGAATTCCAACTTCTTCCAATTCGGTCCACGAACTTGCCTTGTAACCGGAGGGTCCTGTGTTCGAACCCCACTGGGTGAGTACTGTCGATGAATCACAAACTAAGACAAAACGGCTGTCCACTACTGCATTATTGGTTTTCAATGGTTCTCTAATTGACACCAATCCTTAATCAAACTTGAACAAATCAAATCCCTACAAACAAACTCTTGAAAATATGTTTTAGTTTGTAGATCCGTGTTTTATTTCCGGTTCCTGTGATTTGAGCTTTAAACTACCAAAGGACTGAATTTCACTCAAAGTTGTATGTCTGGGCTCAGTTTGTCTATTATTATTATTATTCGTAGGTACAGTATTTAAAAGCGTCAAGTGATATTTATTGATTCTATCTATTATTCTCCATCGTGTGCTAATTAATCATGTTAGTCACATGGTATAGTTATTAAATTCGTTCAAATACCTACGCTTTTATAATGTTACGAATAGTTTGACCTCAGTTACCCGAAATTGATCTTTCATGTACTGGGGTATATAGTGTTAAGAATATTCCTTCAGTGTTGTGAAAGGAAATTAAAAGTAATAGAATTGAAAATGTGAATCATATATACACGCATATAATTCAAATCTTTTTTCTTACACAGGTCTTCTTTGGCTCGACGATCATCAACTGGTACAGGTTGCTTAAGTATGCATGAATTATTTATTCGATCTTCAATTGAAGCTGCTACTGTGGCAGCCGCAGCGGCATTGTCCAACTCCTCTTCACGTTCTGATTCTGAAGTGCGCACTAGTACTGCTGCTAACACAACTCTATCATCTGCCAATGGGTTAAACTTTTGGCACTTTCCTCCAGTGAGAAAAGATGAAATTACACGAAGGGTTGCTTCATATCGAATTGTTCGTCTTTTAATCGAAAGTCGACATTTGTTACCTAGTTTAATTCCACTTCTGACAGCTCGTAATACAGATGATTTGACCCCGTTAATGTTGGCGGTTAAACTTCGGGCATATAGTGTTGCTCGTTATTTGTACGAAATAATTCTTGTAAGTATAATTTTAACTTATCTCTCTCAATTAAAGGTCTCAGCATTTATATACTGTGTCGTATTATTTCAGTGACAACACAATGAGTTTTTATCTAACTATATAACATTGCGAAACGACTTTTCACTGATATTTGCATGTGAATAGAATGGGCATATGTTTCACTCGAATGGATCTATCAAAATTCTCCTTTTTTAATTCTCGATTCCATGCAGCATTTTGATATCCCACTGGTAATTTTGATGAGAAAAAAATGGCTTTAAGAAATTTTCGTTTGTCAGAAGAAGCTGCAAAGACAGGACTTCAAGTAAATTATGGAGAAAACGGAGATGATGAAGATAACTAATCAACAACAACAACAAGCACTAATCACTATCAACGGAGGAAATTTGAAAGAGGTCACTTCCTTCACCTATCTAGGCAGTTTCAATTATAGGTGACAGTATGGATGAAGATGTCAAAACCAGAATGGGAAAGACAAGACAGACTTTCATCACACTGAAATCAGTTCGGAAACCTTTTGCCCTCAGCATAAAGAACAAGATTCGGATATTCAATACCAGTGTTAAGCCAGTTCTTCTGTATCAATCAGAGACTTGGTGCATCAGAAAAAGCATTTCCAACAGGTTTAAGACCTTTATCAACAGCTGCCTTAGCTCTATAATGGAGATCAGTTGTGTAGAAAGAATTAGCAACCAGAAATTATGGGAGCGAACCAATCGAGAACTTATTGCTCAGCAAATATTTCGACGAAAATGGAGATGGATCGGACACACTTAGGAGACCATTGGGTGACACCGCGCACCAGGCAGTTGCTTGTGTAGGAACCGTATGTCAAACGAGTTGGGTGTCCGGGGGTGACATGGTTGAGATCATGTGAGGAGATGAAACCCTATGGAGAAAGAACAAAGTAGAGATGTGCTGTTGAAGCCCTGTGCTACACTTGGAACCAGAGGGAATAATAATATAATAATCAAAAATATCACAAATTACAAATCCGTTTTATTCTATGCGTCGAGAAATGGCTCATTGGCTTTAGCACTTGAAATTCAGCCAATCTGTCTCATGTTCGAATCTCGCCCATCCACCTCAATCTAGACAACTGGACAGTATCATTCATCCTCGCACAATACGTATGGCTCATAGTCTGGTACTGGGTAACCGACTTCTATCTAACTAACTTTATTCTAGTGAGGGTTTGTATCCTTTTGTTAGACTTTTAGACATATAATATAAAACAGAAGGCTCTGGCACACCTGTTCAATTTTGGTAGCAGGATTATCCCGCTTTATGTCAACTTGCTTTGTGTCATGTATTTCGAAGTTCAATTGTATGCTTTTTAGACAATCTCCCCTTTTCTTATCATATATATATGCTAATCTACGTTAAATATTTCATATTTCCGAAAGCTGAACTTCGTAAGCTCTTTTCTCGCACGATCTCGTATCACCTACAGACACTTGACTCGTCGTTTCACATTCGGCTTCCACTCGACGGCCTGTTGCACTATGTCACTCAATGGTCTCCTCAGTATATGCCTGATACATCTCCGTTTTCTTCTCCACATCTCTGTTGGGCAATAGGTTCTTGGTTGATTCAACAGCTGACAGAGTTCCTTGTTGACAATCTTTTCTGACCCTCTGATCTTCATTATGAAGCGAAGGCAGCTGTAGATGAAAGTCTGCAGTCTGTTGAAAATGCTTCCAGCTTCTCCTGACAATTTGTTGGTGTTTGTATTTGTTTGACGTCAGATACAAATCATCCACGAAGTTCGAGTCTTCTAGAGTCGTCTTGCCTGCCCAACGCATGCCTATCTTCTCGCTAGCCAGGGTCTCCCGCATGATCCAGTGTTTTTTTCAGTCACATGTCATATTCACCTGTCTAGATTGCAGTGATTTGACATAGCTACAAATGTTTTTTATTTGAAAGAAGAATATTTGTCTAAAATATTAATTCATTTCTTGACATATCTACTTTAATTGTAAGCTAAGGTTGGATGTATTCACTGCCTTTTCAACAGTGGTACAATAGCATATACACTAATTGATTATCTTAATGTCGATGTTAGTTATGATGAAGATGAATTTATTTCAGCCAGGCTACATCTGTGTTCACATTTGATTTTTATTCATGTTCCTGCTAGCCGGTTGTCTTCGAAATTTCAATTTTCGTTTTATTTTTTTGGAAGACACATCCATATGTCAATGAATTTTGCATAATAAAGATAAGACTTATAGTTATCACTAGTTATTCGTGATTTGATTATTTGATTATCTCCACCTTTTTGACCTTTTTCAAGTATCGGAGCATAGGAAGCACTCAAAGAGGTTACATTCTTCTTATCTTCCCTATTATTTGCTGTTTAGTATGTTTTTTTTGGTTAATTGCTTTGAAATTACAGCTACTTCAGTCTCTTATTATTTTTTTTTTTTAAACTTTGTATTTTTAGCGTATTGTAGGAGTGTGTGACGATTTAGGTTTTGCATGTTTACCAGGACCTCCTATAATTGAAGTTCCTGACTGTTCTGTGTTAGACTTCTTTTGTCCTTCTAGTCACAAACCAGATGATTCTCCACTCTTTCAACTTTGTTATAATGACACTTGCAGTTTCACATGGACTGGTCCTGATCATATTAGACAGGTGAGTGCCTATTCACAATTTCCATTCATTTGCTTGTTAACCCTTTTTGAAGTAATGGTGTAACGGCACAGAATATAAGAGACTTAGCAACGGAGCTTTACTAAAGGAAAAACACATATTGCTACATTCTGAGTCACATACATTAAAATTCGGCTGGTTCATAGGGGAATAAATCGTAGTGATTGGTTAGCAATCAACTTGAGGTTAACCAAGTTGTCCAAATGAGGTTATTTCATGTCTATGCCATTGATTTCTGGTTTGGCCGAATCATTAGCCTTCACACAGTGTGTGACTTATTTATAGCCGGCCAGCTAAGTTCTAATTGACTTCTAGGTTTCCTTTCTCATTTTAGTTGTCATATGAGTTGTTTTTTTGACAATAGGAGTAAGTGCCGACATACGAAATTTTAGTTACATTAATACATTTAATTATTTATAGATGAACTAGTTACTACTTCAGTTTGCTTCATTTGAGGCTAGAAAGCTTTCTAGGAATGCTTATCATAATGGTAAAACTAAATGATATGGATGTTTCTTGTCCGCCATTTTGATCTTTATGTAACATGTTATTTCTTAGAGATTATTATTTATCGTCTATTCTTAATTGTTATAAACAATATTTTATTGTATGGTTCAGTTTTGTTCTATGCCTTCACGATTTATTCTTGATTATTGATTAAAAGTAAGTGGATATGTGTGTAATACTCCAGTTGGCTAAAAAAACTGAATATTTGTTATCCTTTGTGATTGTTTCGAGTATTGACTATCGGAAATTCTAATAATCGAACTCTTTGAGGTGAAATGAATACCAGTGCCGCATAGGGTTGTTAGATGTTACTATTTTGTTTATCGGATAGTCATTGTGCTTAATGTCATGTTTCGTGGTTTTCATGTCCCACTTAATCTATTAATACATAGGATTATTTATTCTGTTATAATTAACCCTTATTTAATTTTACTTCAAAACTTTGCGTTTAATTAGGATATCTTCGAGTGTCGTACTTGTGGTCTGATGGATTCTCTATGCTGTTGTACAGAGTGTGCACGTGTATGTCATAAAGGTCATGACTGTCGCTTAAAAAGAACTTCTCCAACAGCTTATTGTGATTGTTGGGAAAAGTGTTGTTGTCAAAGTCTTATTTCTGGACTTCAAGCTCCACGTCATGAGTTATTTTATCGACTATTGTTCGAAACTAAGTTAGTATATCAGCGAAATGGTCGTGGAGAACATTTACTGCTTTACTTAGCTAAATGTGTAGACCGTCAAGCACGGGAACAACGTCAACATCGTCCATCCAGACGTCGTTTAACTTCTACTACAAGTCGAACTAATTCCACTGGTAATCCACCAGTTACTTCTGCATCGAATACAACATCGGCCTGGGAATCAATCAGTGCAGTTCAAAATGGTGGGACAGAAGAACCTGATCATGATTTGGAGCCTCCTCGTTTTTGTCGTGATGCTTTGGAACTGGCTCTTGACTGTCCTACTGCTGTGTATAGCATGTTGATGTTAGATAATAATTCAGATATTTTATGCAACACATCTGCTGAGCGTAAACCTGGATTTATTAATGAAGACCAGGTAAGAGTTCTCATGACGCATATTCACAACTTTTATTTTATAATTCTGATTAAGCAAAATACACACAGTCTTTTATTTTATTATTCGATACAATTCACAGATTAGTTCTTTTAGATATTTTGCTTTAAAATATGAATTTAAGCTTTATTGTTTTAATTCTCTATCTTGTCGTCTCCTTTCTAAGGTATTTCTGTCATCTCAAGGAGGCACAAATCAACTAGATGATTTCGTGTTCACACTTATTTGTAAGTGCCCTACTGATAAGACTGATATTATCTTGGCTACATTGAACAAAGGTATGCGAGAGTATCCTTCAAGTTTAGAAGAGATATCGAAAGATATAAGCGTTTTTCCCACATCCACTAAGCTAAGTAAATCTGGCTTCATACATGGAGAATATCTTACTTCCGTGGATATGAAAAAAGCAGCTGCTCGATTTGTTCGTTCCGTGGCTCGTGTCTATGCAAGTTTATGTTTAGAATTGGCTCCAGACCAAAAGAAGAAAAGGCAAGTTAGATGTTGGTTTCTTTTCATTTCCCTGAATTTAATTTATCATGTATTTTCATTTAAAAAAGTAATATCTGAGTATGCTGCATACCTATTCTGATGTTCTTTCTTATGTAGTCTAAATTTTATGTTTAATGTTTTAGTCGTTTGGGTTGGGCTCAAACAACAATTTTGGATAACTGTCGACGAATATTCACTGTCCTCTCTCCGGTTGCTTTAAATGAATTGCCTATGCTTGCTGCTAGTCTTCTTGCTCCTATTCGTACGGGTACTGTACGACCCTGTGCATCCTTTACATCTCAATCAAATGAAATCACCTCGGTAAATTTGAAGTATCAGCTGTATATTCTTGAATAATTTTTATAACTTTAGCTATTCACCTAGATAGTGAGATCTGTTTACATTTCATCAACTAAGAATATATACATATATATATATATCATATTCTGGTTAGGCTTGATTTGTGTATTACAATTCATATTTTTCTTCTCTGATCTTACCAAAAGGTATTCGACATTTTAGTTTTCAAGAGTTTGTTTGTAGGGATTTGATTTGTTTCAAGTTTCATTACGAATCGATATCAGTTAGAGAACCATTGAAAAACAGTAATGGAGTACTGGACAACTGTTTCGTCCTGGTTTTGGGCTCCTCATCAATACACATAGTGGATTTTAAACCCAGGACGTTACCGTTATAAGACAATCACGTAGACTATCCATCCATTGAGATCTGAATCAATGATCAGCCCGTGAATTCTAACTTCTACCAATTCGTGATGTTAGCGCGACTGGCACTAGCCGATGGGATCGGCAAGTATTTGTCCTCACTCTCGACGGGAGAGACTCCACTGACCATAAATTCTCGCTTGAACTGCAGCCAACTTCGCCCTTTAGCCAGTCACAAGCGGCGAGCATCAGATTAAATTTCAAGAGTTTGTTTGTTTTCATTTTACTTTAAAAAAAACACACGATGACATTTAATGATAAAATCATTTTCTTTATTTCTAAGGGACTTGAATCGTTAATTAATGCTGAAAGAAATTATTTAACGCGCCAACAGTTGCTCTCTTCTAGTGAATCTACAAAATCCGATGATCTACCAAGCAGAGGAATACAGAGCATCGATGATGGATATAGGGTAACCGTTATCTCGTTTAATCGTTTGATTTAAGATGATATTTTGTTGCTTCTCTCTCTCTCTCTTTTGTGTGTCTCATAAGCAGCAATCTTCGGATTAGCTATTGTTATAATTTACTATAGTTTAACAGGCATAATCCGTTTATGTTCTTCCTACAGTTCAAAAATATTCTACAATACATGTGATTACAAAACTTCAAATTATTGAGATCTTTAATTGTGTTAAACTGTTGAACAATATTCGATTATGTCGTTTTAAAGAATATGTTGTTGGACGTCAAAAATATAAATATAATGTAACCCGATCTTTTTAAAGACAACATAGAGAATATTGAAGTTGTTTAGGTTATTGGACATTTTTAGGATTCCATGTTTCTACTTACTGCTGAAAAACGTATTAGAAACTGATTCTTTGTTCATGGTATATTTTGTCAAAATGAGATAACAAGGAATTCTTTCAAAGTACTTACTGTCATACCAAAGCACTGTATATTTATATTCTTATTGTTCAACACTCCTATTTTAAAGAAATGCTGTTTTGTATTTTGATTACAGCACCATCACTCGAACTTCACTGAACAAACTGCTTACCATAATGCTACAGAACGTGGTACTGTATCATCTAGGCGTCACCAAAACGTTGTATCTACATTACATGTCCAATTGTCGTCACCACCTCATGTCACCATTTCGGACACATCAGATTCTGACACTGTCAAATATACTCAAGCTGAATCGAACATTGAAGCGGTATCTCCAAATACTGCAACATCGTCAATACACGATCCATCATTATTGACTCTTCAAATGCAATCTACTATCACTGATATTGAGACGAGTGCTCCAGAACATGTTGAAACGGTTTGTGTTTTTTGTTTTTATTTATGAGCAAGTTATTAGTCGTATTAAGTTGTTTTTAATCCCATTCACATATTCGATTAATTTCAAATGTATTTTTAGCCATTTTAATCCAGTCTGTTCTGAAATAAAACTGCCCTCATTAAAATATCTCCGTTCAGTATAGTGAATTTTATTAACTAATTGATAAATAGAGGAACTTAAGAACTACTTAGGTTCCACTCACTTTCAAAAATTACACTTTGAAAGTTTCCGGTAAAAATAATTAAATAGTGGAAAGTGGAACTCTGGAATGCGATATAGTCTAGCGAACGTACACTTTATAGTGACCTTAAAATTTTGAAATTTTGACAAATCAATAATTATGTAAAATGGTGCACTTAAAGAAGAACGAGTTTGACTTGGATCCACTAAAGAAAATAAAAGATATTTCAGCGAAGAGAATATTCTCCATCGACGAAGTCATTTTCAAAGTCTGTACGACTGTATATATTCAGATAAGTAACTGTCTAGTTTCTTCAGTTGATAAATGGTCAGCAGACGACTTGTGAGGAATGAATAACCGCTTTGGGTCACTTCAATGTGGGTTTGTAAATTCATCTACCCTCTGTGGATGTGACTCAGGACATTATCCAATATAGTTTCCGAGAAGAGAATTACTAGTTCAACTCTCAAGCATCTGGTGAATTCAGGGCATGGACCTCCACGGAGGTCCGTTTTTAAAATTATTTACAAAGGCTAAATCGTAGAAAAGTATGTTGAGTCTCGACACTTGTGTAGTACAGAGGTGCTAGCGATTTGTCAAAGCAACCCAAAAGAGTTTGTTCTTCCATGGCTTTAAATGCTTTCGTATTTCTCTGTTTCCATTTTTGGTAAGTAGTCACTCTGATGTGTCCTTTTTGTTCATTTTACTAATTAATGTTCTCAACTTTACAATTGTCAAGTAGACACTCATCCACCCTGCTATTTATCCAATAATAATTTTCACCTTTTCAAATTTCAAGCTCTTCCATTGTGTCGTTGATTATTACATAGTACTCCCTTATTTTTAGAAGTCACTCTGATAGCTCTATCAGTTACGTCACATTTTCCGTGCTACTCATTAATAGACTGCTGTACTAATATTATTTTTCCTTTTGGCTTCGAGTGAAACACAGGACATCAACAGTACATCTCCACTTTGTCCTATTTTCTGCCGTCTTTTGTAACTGACTCAACGATTGTCTATAGTCTCTCATCTCCTCCATATCACTCGTCGTTTCCCATTCAAATTCCACTCGAAGAACTAACTTTACAGTCATGGTGAAAAAATTGATTTTTTGTTTATGTTGTGTACAGTGGATTTCCAAACTACTTTCAGAGTGATGAAGATCTGATTTGCCATTCCAGCTCTGATTTTGACATCCCCATCCGGTCCGCCTGTAGTTATAACGATGCCGCCTAGACAGATCACGAAGTACAGTCAGAAAAAGGGTGACAGATTCAAGATGGTTGGGTGTCATTTACAAGCCTAATGAATAAATAATTAACTTGGGAATTGCGAATTCCATTTATGGTATTACCTGTTCAAGCAAGTACCTAGCGAGAAGTCAGGTGGTCGGAAGTGATTTGGAACTCGGAGTTGAGTCAGACCTAATGCACCGTTAATGAGCTCGACCCCAAACGAGCGAACTAGTGTTTAGATCACTTCGGTCTGTCTAGGAAGCACTACTGGGTAATATAAATGATATACAACTATTCAACTCAGTCAATTAGTAGTATATAATTCCATCCAAATATACTTGCTTACATGATTATGATTTATGATATCAAGTAGACCCATTATTGGGATCTGAATAAATTCGGTTTTCAAAGAGAACTGTGGTAAAATTTCACACGGAGCTGTGTAAATTGCAAGTTTGAATTACTGATCAATAGTTTAGCTTATAAGTAAAACTGTTTTTGATCATAAGTGCCGGCGTTCTATCTCCTATGTTAAGGGTTATAATAGGATGAGCAATGTTGAAGTTAGGCGTCGAGTGCTATGTAAGGAGGAGAAATCAATCGACGAGGTTGTAAAGTTACATCAGTTGATATGGCTAGGAAATGTGTTACGCATGCCTAGTCATTGCCTTCCTCGACGGGCGATGTTAGCCGACATAGGATCGTTAAGGTTGAAGAATATCTAGTGGTGGTCAAACCAAAACATGGCATCAGTCAATGAAATCTTTGACAGTTAGTTTAAGCCACGTCAGGCAGCGGAAACTTCCTTGTTGAGATCCTCGGGGTGATAAAAACCAATGGCCGGAGACGAATAGTGATATGGCTCAAAATCGTTCTCAATGGCTGGTGCAGTTGCATTCATTCTTTGTGATTTATCATGTCTAATAAAACTATTGTTTTTCCATATAACTATTTTCCCCCTCATACTTCTGTGTATTATTTGTCTTTTGAACTTCCCTTTATTCTCTTCTCTTGCTTCGTGTGTTACACGGAGAGTGTGGCAGCTTAAGCTGCTGCACGTCTGTGCAAAGTTCTATGTTGAAACCAGTCAGTCTTATAAGTAACAATGTATAACAATAGTGATAACTAAATTAAAATACAGCAATCAGCTTATTCAAATGAAAAAAAGAAAGTAGTTCAATTAAGTGATCGCAAATGTTACGTAATTGTACAAGGACTGATGAAGTAGTCTAATAAATAAGACTGGTATTTAAGACAATAAGACTTTGGATTTTGAGTCCCATTCGGAAATAATCGCGTGTATCTGATTGACGAATTTCATTTAGATAGAACCGGATACATCTCATTGGTTTTGATACTAGTCAAGACCAAATAAAATTATAGAAATATTATTTATTTTTAAGGGTTCAATTTCATTTTGTGGAAAATATCTGGTGTCACTTAAAATTTCAACCATAATTTTTTCTTCTTACTTCTCCTTATTGAAAATTTTAATCTTGTTATACTTCAAAGGTTATGAATCCGACAGCCGATAACTTTGACTCTGTTGTCAGATCGGAAGAAACTAACACATCTTTCCACCCTACCGCATCAACTGGTTCAGTTACTGCTAGCACCAGTTACTTGAATATTGTTGGTACACCTACTTTCCGTAACGATGGCTGCTCTAGAACACATCAAATCCAAGCCTCCGAAACTTCTGGAGAGTCTCACTCATCACCAGCATATGAACCTTCTAATGTTCAGATTATTAACTCAGAAACCACTTCAGATAGAATGGAAGGTACAAAAGTTTCTCATACTGGAGATGCAGAGTTAGAAGCATGGTCGTATTCAAGACGTCAGGGATCACCATATCATTCTGATATTTTTCCTTTGTTATCGGAGCGTGATATTGTAAATGATGTATCTGATAGTGATGTTAATTTTCCTAGCTGTTCTAATCGTCGATTAAGTGAATCTAGTGATTGCCATTTATCGAAACGCCGAAGAACCATGGAACCAGGTGTTGTTTCTCCAGAGTCCAAGGATGATAATATTGAGATTGGTCCACAAACAGCTTATTCATTGTCACCATCAGCTCAAGATGAACTGCCTTTGTCTATCCTAGAAACAGATGGTGCTGTCAGTCAAACGAGTAGTACAGCTGTTACACTAGGTAGCACCACTGATTTGGATATTGGGTCTGAGTTGTCCACAAGTTTGAATGTAGAAATGAATTCAGCGACTAATTTCACTAACAATATGATGTCGTCTCAATTGGTTAGTTGTATTGTTATGATAAAGATTTTTTTTATTCAGTAGACTATTTCAGTGCTTATGTAATATGTGTTGAGATGAAATCCTGTTTTAATATTCCCTTTAAGTTAGATCAGTTTAGCTAATATGATACATAGTAATATAGCACTTTTACTCAGTGTTTTCTTGGTTAAAATTTACGGCTAATAATTTTTTGGAACTAGTAACAGATTTGCATATTGCTTAGTATGGTGTAACTGCTTCTTTATCCTTATTTTCACTTCTCTTAGAATCCATTCTATGTCGTCAGTGGACACAAAGGCGAAAAGGCGAGTGCGAACATCTATCTAGTACTTACAACTGGACTGGTGGACATGTAGGTTTACCCAAGGGAGCTGCAAAACCCTGATTCTGAACGTGTGGTGTACATTGGTTCCAGAATCCGAAAGGATCGAATGGGTTATGAACCTGTTTTAGTCACAGGCAGTCCTGACTCTGTTCCATTGTCTTGCAGATCAGACTCCAGGTCAAAGACCTGAAGGTGACTTCGGTCTGGGCATCTGGCCAGTATCCTAGCCCTCACACAAATTAGGAGATTTTGTGTGATGCATCTCATGTTGCTTACACTGTATCATGTTTGTGTTTTGATAATAATAGCATCTCTAAGAGAACTGCAAACAGGATACTTGCGTCAACTTTCTGTGAAATCATTTATTACATTTTATTGGTTGTTTTCTGTGTAGTTCTGTTTAGCGTCTTATGTAATGGGTTAAAGTGTTTCTTGTTCGATAAAAGTGTTGATTATTAGGACCTAAGAGGCATTTTTTAACTTAGAAACATAGAAGTGACTTCTCCTCTTCTACATAACTGTTGTCCATTATGTGTATCTTGTTGTTTAGCCCCATCGTGATAATGAAGGCTCCGATCAGCAGCATGAAGAAATTGGATTTAGTCAACTTCTTAATTCTGATATAGATCTTTATCAGTCATCACTTACTATACAAGAGGGTTCCTTGACAGGGGAACCTGGTTGTATAATCAATGAACAACAAAATGATGATTTTTCAGTTGCTGAACAGTCTAATGCTTTTCATGCTGAAGATGCTTCCGATGGTCAGGCTTCAGATTATGATGAATACGATGAACAAGATGACGGTGATGATGGTGACGATCATGAGGACGATGATGACGAAAATGAAACTGAAGATGAAGATGCAGATCAAGATGTTTACGGTGATGGTGACCAACTCATAGAAGGAGAAGATGAAGAAGAAGAAGATGAGGAGGAGGAGGATGATTCTTCTCATCACAGTGATGTAAGTTAATTCACAGGCAGAATGTTCTTTCCGTTGTTCATTTGTTGAGTGTTGTTCCGAGAAAGTTTTGAGAAATATGAAACTGTATGTTTTTTGTGTGTACTGAATTATCACACGAATGAGGTTAATAAACGTGTGATAGTCTCCTAGTAATTCTTTTCTAACCCATCCTGGTGATTTTCAAAAGACTGACGTATATTGCAAACGTGTATTTCCAAACGAGCGAATTAAAGGTACCTCATGGACTCCGTGTTGTCACGTCTCTTACCTGCAGTCTGTTCTTCTTCAGTTACCATTGTGTTGTAGGATCGTCTTTTGTCTTTCTTAGCACTCTTCTTCACATGTTTATTCAGTGAGTTATACATTGAACTGAGCTTCTTTCGTTTTCTTTCGTCTTCTGTTTCTCCATCTGTTATTCGTCAATTAACTTGCAGGTGTCCGTAGAGAGCCATTCCTTGTTTTGTTTCTTCTTCTTAAGATGGCTATACATGCTCCCCTCAGTTCCGCTTTCGGAGAGTTGTAGTGTTATTCCACAAAGATTTTCTCGGTGATATTACATAACATTTCTAACGGTAGCGGATATGTTCCTTATGGTTTCGTCTTTCAGTTTCTGAACGTTAAACGTAAATTGTGGTCTATCTTCAACTTCTTCGAAGGCTTTTCACTTGACCTTGGGGATTTCTTACACTAGATATGATAGTCTGAGCTCGCATCTATTTTTCTAGCTTCATTGAGATGAAGTATATCTGATTTTTGGTGTGTCCATTTGATGAAAACCGTTTCCTTATACTTATCCAATCTGCCTCCATTCACAAAGTCATTAAAAGTGCAGAGGTCTGCGAAGAAATTGTCGTTCTTATTCATTTGACCGTGAGCCTCGCGTTCAAGGATGAAATTCCTTCCTGTGTTATCTGCTCCCATTTTGGATATCATTCATCTCACCCACTAGAATTTCGGATTTTGTCCATTACTGTAAGCGTAGAGACTGGAAGTGTACGGTAGGTTGACATATGAGTTATGAGTGACAACACCTACAGTAGAAGTTATGGTGGTTGCATACAGCTTCTGATACTTGAACCTACACAGGTTTGTCGGCAGCGTTATTTGGTAATGATGGTGTAGTGATGGTTGTAGTGCGTTTACGTTATCCCCGAAGTTTCTTTTACTTATTTGACCGACACCAGAAATAGTCATCAAGAGAAAGAAAGAAAAAAAAAATGAAAATTTGGCAGTCTAGTAGATGCAATCTCAAATTTGGAATGATTTCTGAAACAATTTTTCTGTTACATTTTCATCATCAGATTTCTGAACGTCATGCTTCATCGTCAAACAAGAGACAGAGAAAGTTTATTTGCAGCTTTGTTATAGCCCGTTTTGTAGTTATTCAACACAAAGTAAATGTCAACAAGGTTTTTTAAATTATCTACTGTATTTTGACTAATCTCATTCTCGCCTTATAAGTTCTTCTTTTACATATACCTGAAACAGTCAGAATCCACCTGAAGCAGCCTAACTTATGTGTTTAGAAGTTGCTTCATACTCTTTCCCTACCTCGACCATCTTTGTGTTTTAACCATCTTTAATTGTTGCATGAATTTCTTAATTTAATTTTGATATCCAGTTTAGTATTGCATTACAATATTGTCATTAACGATTATTGTACTTTAAATTTAAATGCATGTGTGACTGTAGAGCCAGATCGGAGGAAGTCACCGAAAAGAATATTCTCTGCCCTTCTTTCTTCTTTTTTGTGTCTTTTTAATTTAAATCCTATCCGACAGACTGTCGATGTAGTTTGCAGTTACACCTAAAAGTATTTTTAGATAGTTCGATACTTAATGTTATTATTACACAATTCTTTTATTCCTAGGCGTCAAGTGCCGATGCTGGTAGTCGATCAACTTCTCCTACTTGGGATTCGTGGCCAAGAACATCTTTTTTCTCTCGCCTAAGCTCACGAGCCGTTTCTCGAACTTCTGATACTGCAGTTACCTCAGCAAGCAGTACAGATGCTTTAAATAGCATTCGTGAACTAAATCCGGTGACAACAAGTCAGAGTTCAGCTAACATAACTTCTGTTTCTACCCATGGACTCAGTGCTTCTAGTTTGATTTCTGGCCGTCGGGCTGTTCAGTCAGTTATAAATTTAAATCCATCCACGTCTTCTACAACCCCAACTTTAGTTATCACAAGTACGGGAAATACACCTGTCTCAACTGAAACTGCCGTTACTAACTCCACCACCTCTGTTACTACCCCAGCTGTTTCTTCTGCTGTAAGTTATCGTATGAATTAGTTTACAAATTCGAACTGTATCGTATGATTATTGCTTACGAATTTTATAGATAATATGTGGTAACTTATTTCTTTTTTATATTTGGTTCACAGGCGGGTTGTATAATGACAACTCAGGTTTATTTATGCCGGGCATGTGCTTGCCTCTTGCGGGTAACTGCTGACCTTGTAACTGAAGTTAAAGGGGACCCAGAACAATTTACAACTGCGCTACGTCGTTGTACATCGGCTGCCAACCCTATCAGTCTTTCATTAACCATTTATGAACAACAGCGTCGCATGCCTGTGTATCGCACATCTAATATGGTGTCTATCACTAGCACATCTTATCATCAACCTCAGAATGACATCATTTCTTCAGTTTCCCACTACAATCCAACCTCAAGAGATTACCATACATACCCACTTAAAAATTCTATAACAAGGTCAAACACAGCACCTGCTTGTTTATCAAATGATCGATCAAATTCTGTTCGTATAGATTCTGATACTCACTGTGCACAGTTAGTGGCATCAGTTGGTGTAGCTTTGATTCCAATATGGCAGTGGGCGTCTTCAGCACTGGATAATTTGGAAGCCCAACTACGTTTTAGCGCCTCTTGGAATGCATGTCTCCCCAATAAAACGAATACAAAAGGTGTATCAAAAAATTATAATGAAAATCAAGATGGTAATTATATCAGTTTTACTGTTTAATATTAGTCGCTTAACATACAATATTTATCTAGAATAACAGCTAGTTTATTATCTATAATTGTTTATATCGAATAGCGTTCTCCTCATATTATATCTTTTCTTATTCTTTAGGTGTTAATCCCGTTTCTGATATTCCAACTTCAGTTGTAAGTTGATTTATTTTGTATATTCATGCTCTAATAAATATTCAGAAATCATTGATTTCAGTTCATCGTAGTATCATCAAGTCATATTCTGACTGTTCGAAGAGTTTATTTATAAACTCTACTTTTGCAATAGTGTCGAAAGTATTTTAAATGCTTATTAGAAATATACAATGATTAATAGTCAGACGGATAGTGATCATTAGACAGTTTCAAAGTAACTGATCAAACTTTACTTGAACAAGTTTCAATTCACACTGAGAAAATATGACGTTGCCTTTTTGACAGTAAACAATTAACAGAAACATCTTTTGTATATAGAACTAATTAATGCCGTTTTCTCAAACTAATTATACACTATCAAGAGTTGGTTTGCAGGAATTTGATTAGTTACAGGTTTGATCACAATTTGATATCAGTTAGAGAGAACTACTAGAAGACCAGGGAGTACTGGACAGCTGTTTCATCCTACTTTGGACTTTTTCAGTAGCATTACGCATGCATGACCTCGTCTGAAGGGTTCGAATCCAGGAAATACTGGATCATTGGATCGGGTCCCAGTGGTTGAGTTGATCTACGCGATCGCGCGCCTTGTAACTGGAATGTCCTGAGGAAGAGTCCCAAACTAGGACGGAGGTTTTCCAATGGTTCTCTAACAGATACCAACTCGTGATCAGACCTGCAATTATGAACTATCCATTTCCTAAAATTATTCACTCCCAAGTGAGAATAACAATGGACATAGTTTTCCTGTCTAATTTTAGGTAGTTAGTTATGGATACAAAAAAGTTATTGTTAGATTGGATTTTAGATTTTGCGAATCAAATACTCTTATTTATTTTTATTGCTTTTTTTGTACTTTCCAATTATTAATATTCAACATAGCCATTGCAGACAAACAGTGATGCAAATTCCAGACGTAATTATACATCAGGATTGAACACACGGAGACCTGTTGCTTATCCAAACACCACGTCATTATCATCGTCATCTACAACGAACATACGTTCAACTTCAACTGATATTCCAACTGCTAGTAATAGTACAGACGGTGTAGCAGTTGTTCTCGGTGAAAAACAAGATTTCTTAGCCTATTTATTTTCAATTTTGCGAGCTTCAGGTGGTGATCATGGTGACAGTGTGCCTATTATTGATCCACAAGTAAACAAGCATCTTGCTTACATTTTGGATGCTTTGTTGTATTTCTTCCGTGCATTTAAATCTTCCTGGCCATCTGGTATTACACGACATATGAAAATACTATTATCTGAATTGAATGCTATTCAAAAATTAAAAGAGACACAACAACAGTTTATTCACGAAATTGGAGAGGTAGGTAGATAGACAATTTCCATTTAATTTTTATCCATTTGTATTCCTTGTTTGTTATCGAGAGTATAACCTATTTATTTACCTTCAGTCTTTACCATGAAGCAAAAATAAAGAATAGCGACCACATAATGCGAACGCTCCAATGACCTTGGACGCAATACCATTCATTGGATACAGAACTTACTGTGTATTGTACATCAAAAAGCCGTTTATTTGTTAGAAAAATTATAGTCATAATAGTGAAATACATTAAAGATGATATTCTACAGTGACGTAACTGAAAAACTACATTGAAGGATATTAGTTTTCAACTTTGATAGCTATCAAAACGGTTTCATCTATATGAACAGCTAAATACTCTCCTGCCATATGTTTATTTACAAGCAAAATAGAGACAGTAATGACCCCCCCCCCCCAATACTTACCTTAACTGTCAAGCCATTGTTCAAAAAGTACTTCAAAATGAGATCAGGATAAGATTTGGCGCATCATTTGGGGCACAGCATTCACAAATGGTGCTGTAATAAGAACGGGAGATTGTGTAATCCAACAAATGGTATGTATTCATGGTCATTTGTGCGTTCTCACTCCGTGGTCGCTGTTCTCTAGTCTGGCCGATTTTGCTTTTCTTCTTCGTTTGTTTAATGTTTTCTTTCTTTCTTTTTCTTCTCCATATTAACTCTGTCGTATAGCCATCATCTTCACCTGTACTTCATCGACTCCAAATGTGTTTTGGTAAAAGCTCAGATTCCGAAGATAGTAAGTCACTTTTCATTTTAAGATAAGCATCTATGATTGGTAGTTTTCTTATATATATATATCACTTATTTTCATGATTTTTCAATTATGAATGATATGTCGACAAGGACTAGTTGTTACATTCTGAAAATTTTTATGCACTACATTCATATCTATCTTTTGTTCTTATTTCAATGTACACCACAAAGGTTTAATTCCTGAACACATTACCCAACGCAGTGATTCGTTCTTCCGTCGTTCAGAAAGTGTTTTGTCTCTATCAGGTGTCGGTCCTGACTTACTAGATTCACCATTGTCAGAATCATTACCTCTAGCAATACAGCCTCAGCTGCTGCAACCAACCTCTGAAAGAGCTGAGTTATTTGGCTGTCATCGGTAAGTCTCAAATATCTTCTATGAACTAAATAAATAAAAATTGATTTTACATATACTTGATAAATGCTAAATTTATATCTTATTTCTACCTTCCAAAATAGACTTTTACCTATCAAATCGACAGTTAATCTTTCCAATACTCACAAGAATGATGAAATTCCAATACACATGAATGCAATGTCGAGTACATGGGGTGAACGTATGTGCAGTGATTATAATACTAGTGTTTTAAACAACTCCGAAAATAGAAGTTGTGAGCTTCTATCGTCTGACATACAACAATGTAAGTGTTGTGTTGACCGTGTTGTTAAACATCGTTCTTCAAATTGTGTATTCTAATATACATTAAAACCAAGAGCCTTTCTAAATTTTGTTTTGCCCAATTTTTTTATGTCCTAATAGTAATGGCTGGAGCGAAATTTTTGGATTCAGTTGGACAATCTGCAACTCTGCTTTCACGGTGGTGTTCTACTTTAGAATTCTTTGGAAACCATTTCAGCTCTGATGTAGGGACTGAACAAGGAAGTTATTATTTTGAACTTGGTGGATTTCCAGCAAAAGAAGTTCGGTTCAGAAAACAAATGGAACGTTTGCGCAACCTGTCACGTAGGGATTTAGTTTTGGAGGTAATTTCATCCATTATTTTGTATAATACAATACAAAAAAATATACTGTTTGTGTTTTTGTGTACATTGTAGTAAATCTAAGTGTTTACTGCAGTCTTTCTCTATGTAAAGAACTATAAAATCTCAATTTGTGTATGAGCAGTTGTTTCAAGGTTTGATCATGAACTGAAATCATTTAGAGAACCATTGGAAAACCTGCAGGAAGTACTGGATAGCTGTTTCATTCTAGTTTGAGACTTTTCAGTGGTATACACAGTACACATCCTTTTTGGGGTCCGAACCCAGGACCTTCTGGTTACAAGGAGGGTGATCTTGTAGTCCGTTCAGCCATTGGGACCCGATCCAATGGTCCATGAATTCCAAGTTCTGCCAATTCGCGATGTACGTAGTGCAACTGCCAACTAGTGTCTTAGGTGAGTAAGTGATCTCTTACCTGACTTGATGGATCCTGTTGGTTGTGATTTCTCACAAGAGTACTATGAGCAGTTGTTATCTAACTGTTGTTTTCACCTTACTGTTATATCTGTGAAATAACTATTCGTTTCTCTCGCACCTTTGTCACATGTTTAATACATTGATTTACACATTTTGGACTTTTGGAAAAGGATTTTAGAGCTACCCGCCTTATGAATGAATGATTTATAACGACTTATTAGTAGTTGGACAAGAAAATATTATTACTATCATTACATATAGTTCGTTTCGCCGATTTTATGCCATCCAATATCAACGTCCTTTGTACTTGGATTTTTAAAATAATCAACAAGTTTGTTGTTTCTCAACTTCGCGATCTTTCTGTATGGTTACCTATCATATTTCTTTTCATCTTCTACATCTCACAGGTTGAACGGGAACATAATTCACTTATTTTAAACACAATCAAATCATTGAACGTGGAGTTTGCGAAGCGTCAGTCTCTTACATCATCTAACAGTTTTATTAATACAACCACCAGTAGTTCAGTTGCAAATATGAACGATTCACCACTTTATCATCCCACTTCAAACAACCAAGAAAGAGATCTGTCTTTGCCTCGTCTCAGCGCAAATGCTAGTCAAGTGGCTGTTGCTCTTCTTCTTGGTACTACTCCTGATTCACCGTTGCTAGGATCATTATTCAATACTAGTCCAGTAACTCCTCCTTCTTTAGTTACTGCAAGTTCAATCTCTTCAGCCCCGCAGTCAGTTTTAACATGTCGACGCGTTAAAGTTACTTTCAAGGATGAACCTGGTGAAGGTACTGGTGTTGCTAGATCGTTTTTCACAGCTTTTACAGAAGCTGTGTTATCACAAGAATCTTTGCCTAACTTGAGTTCACTTCTTCAGCAAAACTCTTCGAGTAAGTCTTTTTTGCTAAATTAAGAACATTACTTATTATTCTGACTGTCGATTGCCTACCTATGGAATACTATTTCCACCTGTCTACTTAATAGATAGATGTATAACTTGATGTGTAAAATACTAATTCATGAAATTTCTTTGACTATTTTAGGCAATCTGTCACTATCGCTTCGTCGTCCCTATCTCTATTCACCTGTGAGTCGTTCTCAACCAAATACTTCTACGAATAGACAGACTTCAGTTTTGGTGCAATCAACAGCATCTAGTTTATTTCAACCATCTACTCAATCAGCAACTAGTAGCATCCAGTCTCATTCTGTAACTAGCGCTCAACAAATAACACCATCATCTCAAGCCTCTGTTTCCTTTTACCCGTATCATGTTCAACCTCGAGCGCATACATACACAGTTGGATCACGTCCAAGATTAAGCGCTTGGCGACGAACTGGAGCACTTTCAGCAAACGCTTCCCCATTTTATCCATCGTCAACTCAAGCAGTACCACCACCAGTTGATTGTAATCCTCAGACAAGCTCTTCTAATGCGTCAGCAGTTCAGGCACCTGAAACGTCACATGCTAATCCAATAACTACAGAGCATCTCGCTTCATCAAGATGTCCTGATATTTCTGTCTCAACACAGTCTATTAGGTCCAGCGTAGACGCTTCCCCAGGTCAGTTAACAAGTAATTACTATAATCGTAATTTTCTAAAATACCACCACAAAAGTTGAGTATTAATTATCCTACTTTTTTACTTTGTGATTCTAAGTTTGATTGGCTTACTTATCTTCACAGAAGTGCATCATTATAAGTAGTTACACTTTGGAGAAGCACACGTAAAGGTAGTGGAAGAAATGTTATATAATGAACAAATGTGCTCAGGAAAGAGAATAGTTAGACAGATGATAACTAGGGAGGGTTTTCAGCAACTGGACTATGACATGGAGTGAATACAACTTTGATATTTCGAACAGATTTGAGCGGTATTATCAAGAGTCTTCTTCACCCATTTATTCTAAGCACCCCGAGAACGTCAACCAAACAGTCTTCATCTCTCTGCGTAACTCAAACCAACAATTGTAGACTTCAGTTTTTGGTGGTCTGACCAGTTCTTTTTCTTTTTCTACAAACTAATGCAACTCCAGCTGACATTTATCATCGAGGAGGATGGTAGCTTGACACTCTCAAGATGTCTCCTGTCACCTCATCTTTGCTTTCATTCTCATTAATGCAGTTTTTAAAGGAAATAATATGGAATATCGTGAAACGCCATTTTCTCTCTCTGGTCATTGTGTTTTCTTTCCGTCTCTGTTGCCTGAAACTTTTATCGTCCTTCACCGTTTTACTTTCAGTGTCGAGTCCTGACCAAGTTCAAGATCTGTCCGATACTGCCGCATTTTCTCAAAACGATGCGACAAGTGTGAATTCTGTTGGAAGCCGACTGTTTGCACATATTCAGCCGCTAGTAAGAAATGAACAACTAACTGCTCGTGTCACTGGAATGCTTCTTGAACTACCAGCTTCGGAACATTCAGTATTACTAACGAATGAAGAAGCCTTATGCAATCGCGTTGATGAAGCGAGAGCCCTTATAACTATGTCTGATACAAATGAACAAAAGCAAGTCATTTTTTTTAATTCTTTGCACTGAATTCCTTATTAATATATATCACTTTCTTTAGATAAATTGTAGTGTCTTACTTACTTTCCGTTGACGAACTTAACTGTAATCTCTCTAATTTTTTTGCTTATTACAGTCAAAGCGATCATCCTCGGATTCCTGTCACTGTCAGCCAACCAGTTCTAGAAGGTTTAGTAAACTGGCGTGATGTAACTGTGCCTTCTGTTGTTGCTCCTACCACACAATCTAATCTATCTTCGTCAAGTTCACTTGCAGAAGATTTAGAACGTGTTCCGCTTTTCTGGCAGCCCGGTTTACAGGGTTATTATTTCCCTCGAGCAGTTCCTGGTTGTAATGTCGCTTCCAGCCATTCCTGTGATTCGACTAAACTAGCGGCAAGATATTCTATATACAGGTAAGGTAGAATTGTTCACATTTCCTATTTCTATTCGTACAATGCAATACTTATACTGGATTTTTTTTATTTAAACAGAGGCATTGGTCGTGTAATCGGTTTGTGCTTGCTGACGAATGAAACTTGTCCTTTACACTTCAGTCGGCCTGTCTTGAAGTATATTCTTGGTCGCGTTCTTCATTGGCATGATTTTGCGTTTTACGACCCTGTGACGTTTGAAGGATTACGCCAGCTTCTCCTTCATACTTCTGAAGATCCTTTGAAGGTAAAGGCTTTTTTAAATTCAACTTATTAGTTTATCTCATTGCACATGCCTCTTCATCACGGTAACCGTGAAGCCTGCATTGAATATGCACCTGCTTTGTGCTATCATCTCTGTGTAACAAAGTAAAGTAGTTACCTATCTTCCGAGCTAATACAGTCTTCCTATGATGTAGTGCATTGTTACACATCTTTATTTGATTTTCAATAGCGAAATGTAGACCTCATTGCACACAAAATATAGTGTAATTGTGCAAACGTCATTCTCTGTCTAGCTAAATTGTCATGTCCCAATAATCTAATTGATCGAGATCTGGTTTGACCTCACAGTCATTACATGGTATTTGGCAAATTATATTATTTTTCTTAACTGGATTTATCGGGTCCTTAAGTTGATAGAGTTGGTTGGTTTAAATGCCACCCTAATTCCAGCGTCATTGAGAATCCTAGGTAAGGCCTCTGATGTCCCCTCTTTATACGGCAGTACTACAGTGGCTTTAATTTCTATATTATTTTTGTCATTTTCATTACTAATCTCTTTTTTTATGCTTCTTTGTACATTTCTGAATAAATTCTGGTGGGTAGTAATACTTTCTTTATATGTTGTCTGATTAACTAAGTATTTAAGTGGTATATACTTTCAAATACATCAACCTTCACCATAATTTGTGTATTCACTACTTATTATTTTCTATCTGCCTTTCTCCGATCACTTTTTCAATTTTAGCCTCCTGGAAGCATAGAAGACTATAATCTCACTTTTTCACTTATTCCTGCTTTGGAAGAAGGTGGTTCGACATCAACAGGTACAGTTAACCAAGCCACTACTTCATCGTATGCTTTGGTGCCTGGCGGGGATGAAATTGAAGTCAATGAAAGTAATGTATTCGATTTTGTTAAAAAGTATACAGAGTTCAAAATGCTAACAGCAGTTCAAGAACCATTGCAGGTAAGCTATTATTAATTATTGTAGTTAAAATATTAATTTTAGAAATTAGTAGCACTAATATTTACATACATTCTGAAATGTCATGATAATCCATTTCATTGATATAGTTATGAAGAATTTTATTATTAAGCGGAATGGGACATCGTGTTTGTTTACTTTGAAATATTTAATATATAAGCCGTACATGTTGCGGCATTTTAGAACCAGATGGACGAAGTTGTTCGTAATATATTGCTGTCCAAAGAACATCGTAAGCAGCTGAAAGAATTGAAGGAAAACGAAAACTTGATCGTGGTACGACTAGATAAAGGCTCTGGTATTGTTCTACTGAACAAATCAGACTGTCTAAGTAAAACTCTCGCTGATTCTGTCTAATGACAATCAATTCCGAAATCAATCGCTTCAAAAAGATAACAGTGAAAAGACGAAGCTCCAGCTGAAAAAAAATATTAAAGAAAGTGAAAGATGAGTCCACTATTAGTGCGGAACTATACGAACAACTTCGTCCATCTGGTTTTACAACACCATGCATATACGGCTTACCTAAAGTACACAAACAAGACATCGTAAACCGCCCAACATTAGATGCAATGTAGATATGTCGTGTAATAATCTTCTTAGGATGTTAGTACTATGAACCTTGCACGATGGAGAATACACAATAAATATTATATATATATATCCTGTAAATCTTCCACTTTTTAATATTTCTCAACCAGATAACCTGTGGTTGTGTATTTATTTAATTATTTAGCAACTTCGACAAGGTGTCTTTGATGTACTTCCTCGAAATGCATTCGATGGACTAACACCTGAGGATTTACGTCTACTTCTAAATGGGACTGGTGATATAGACGTTGATGTTTTATCTGGATATACTACATTCTTAGATGAGACAGGAACAGGTTCAAATATAGATTTAACTAAAAGCTGTGATAATGTGAATCGTTTGAAAAAATGGTTTTGGAGTACTGTTCGTGGAATGGATACTAAGCAGCGCCAAGATCTGGTAAGAATAAATTATCTCCTTTATTTACTTCATTTTGCAACTGTCAGTTACCATATAATGCTGTTGTTTTTTTCAACAAAAAGACCTTCATTTTCGGAATTCAGTAGTGTAACTGCATCAAAATTTGAATATGATAATATCCGTCTCACTGATTAACATTATTGTTGAAGAACAACTCGGACAATGTAGCAAGACTAGGCGTACATTCTTTTTCTGACAGAGTGTAGCAGAATTTTTCCCCCACTAGCATTTCAATACAGTCATGTAATTTTCATAGTCATGGGGAACAAAATTTTCCACATCACCACAGGTGCTGTTATTCCTTTTGCATGTGTAAAGCTTTATAGATTTTGTAATCAATTTTATCATCTAAACATAATTGTACTTCCGCTCTACTACATTTTGTTATTGTGTATCAATGTACAATAATTTGGTCGAAGTGTTATACCTTCGTTTGACAGTCAGAATGACTCGAGTTGGCTGTGTTATATCCTTGAAGGAATTTCAGCTTAAAAGTTACCCTAATTCCACCCGTATCTTATATTCTTCATGACATCTCTGATGTCCCCTTACTTTACATTTGAGAGCTATATGTAGGTTAAGTTTTATTTATTCATATGTCTACGACTTCTCATGTCTAGTGGTTTAATATCATTTTAGTACTGGTTCACTTCGTTTACATTCATTGATTCACTAGCTAAATTCCTAACTTATGCTTATTAATTCCAATTGCAATATTTCAGCTATACTTCTGGACGTCCAGCCCAACTCTTCCTGCTAGTGCACTAGGATTTCAACCTGCACCATCGGTTACGGTGAAACCTCCGGATGATCATCATTTGCCATCTGCAAACACTTGTATTTCACGTCTTTACATACCACTGTATTCATCAAGACACATCTTAAGAAGTAAACTGTTACAGGCAATTGAAACAAAAAGTTTTGGATTTGTATAATTTCATTTTGCTATCCCAAATATTGTAAATGAAGAAATATATTATTCGTAAAAATATGACATATATTGAAGTTAAAAATTATTAAGTGTAATAAATTAATCAGATCTGGAAAAAGTGATTTTGGTTAACAGACTGTTTTTTTTAAATATGTACAGCTAGGTTGTTGTGAACAGTTCACTATCATCATCAAGGTTATTACTGACATATTGAAATTCTTGTTCAAGTTGGTCAAGTTTTCTTGCTAGTTCATCTGCAGTTCCTAATCGCCCTTCTTTACGTGCAATCATCAGCTGGGCAGCAACTTGATCTATTTCTTTTGCTATATCACTCAAAGACTGAATTGTAGTTTTCTTCTTTTGAAGGCTTACCGCCCCCTTAGGATTAGAAGGTGAATTAGGTTGTTGGAATAATCTTTTCCAAAGTTTTGTAGTTGTTGTATTTATACCTGAACTGATATCTGTACCGTTCGGTTTACTTGGGTTTACGCGTTCCATCAGCTGAAAAATGTTTAAAAACAATTTAATTTAGTAATTTAGTTAAAGATCTTACATCAGTGAAACTACTGGAAGAGAACAATAGTATTAGTGGGTGTTAAATGCCAGGTGGTTTTACCTTTGACTCACTATACATATGGTTTATATCAATGAACATGAGTTACCTTTTATCAGAATAATGAGGTAATCGACATACACATACAAATTCTACTCACAGGTTTACTACGTTGCATGGTGGTTAGATCTATCTGGATTTCGCACATTACAAAGGCACTGACATTTCTTTGCAGAAATGCTGTTCTTTTGGGTGCATAGTAAATGTAATTTAAGACAAACTTACTTCCCGGGTAAATATGAACTAATGTGCGATGAACTAAACCTTCTCATGCTTTGCAATTTTTTTTCACATGTAGTAAATAAGCACGTTTTTCCCTGAAGTGCTTAAGTTCTGTATATAGAGTTTTAAAATGATGGGACATATTTGTAGCTGTGGTAGCTGCTGTTTTCTCCCAGGTGAACGGTTCAGTTGTAAAGCCTTCATCTTCCTTCTAGGCATGACATTAGCAATATCTTCACAATGAATTATGCTCTTTTAATTCAGAGAACAAAACACTACAGCAGGCAAGTGACTGGTGTCTGCGAGATTCGAAACTGTACGAAATCTCAAATAAGTTACAATAACAACCTGGAATATAGAGAAAAAAGTATCACTGCTAGTATCTGACTATTTTTACAAAAAGGTTCGAACTAGTTTGCTGAACGGAACGTTACAATTATATGATTCAAATAATGAGTGAGAACAATGCACGACTCACTTCTGCAAGAGCTCTGTCTTCTTCTAGCCACCTAGCCGACAGTTCATCTTTGCGTTGTGAAGTAAGACTATCATATTGCTTGAGGGTGGGAAGAGTTCGTAAAGGTGGAAGGTAATTCTGAACAAAATGTTTAGCTCTTCGAGAAACTGATAATGCTAAGCGTGCCAATGCTCTGTTGACATAAAATTCTGAATCTGGTTCACTAAATTTTGAGAATTGTCTCCTGAAATCACAGAGTGTAATATAGTAAGAAAGTCATTTCATGATACAGATTCTACTTAAACATTAACTGAATATCATTACTGTCGATAAAAGAGTTCAGCCTTATAGATAAATGCTGATTATTAAACTTTTTCCACTATGAAAAGTGGTACGAATAACCCACACGAATGTTTGAAATTTTAGGTGTAGGAAATATGTGACGCAGTGATTTTTTCCAACATCTTAACTTTCTGAATAAAAGTGAACATCTCACTTTCGAAATAGTTGCTAACAGCTTTTTGTTTGTGGTGTAGACCTTCTATTATCGTAATCAACGTTGAGTTAGTCAGCATCTAGGCAACTACAGAATTGAGGATATTTTATTTCTCCTGACTACATGCACTTTTCATCAAACTAGTCGAGATATTTGAGTGTTAGTTCTGTGAGAGGATAAGAGTTTTGAATCAGAAGTTTCATCTAGAGTGAAAGGCTTGCAATATTGTTTCATTGAAATATAACACCACAATAGATTTTTCGAAAATTGTTTAAGGAAACAGAAGGATTATTCTTCCATTTTAAATGCTATACCTTCGAATTAAGAGTATGGTTAAATTCATTTTTTACTAACTTGGTATCATTAAAAAAAGTACATGAGAGTCGAGGTAACTGATAAGTCCTCATAGAACTTTGCACATGAGTTCAAAATGTCAAATTTTGAAGTAGCACGCAGAATAATAGAACAGAGACGAAAATAACTGCAAAGGAAATGGCCTACGGTTTGCAATATAAGGTGGCAGATGTTTAATCATGTGTTTCCAAGCTTTGTTAAGAACTTCATAGCATATCACTACACTTGACACCGACCGAATGCCCAAATTTGTAGAAGCTGTACCCAAAATACTCCTTTCTTTGAGTCAAATATAAGTTGCCTCGTGGTTAATCGTAGCAAAAAATACCGAAATCTGGATGCATGTGAAAATCCATTAAGCTTAGCATATATGCCAAACACAAAAAGTGAAACATTAACTTAAACACTTGACTTTCAGGTACTTGTTACCAAGAATCGTGATATTAAGTACACAGGCAAGGTTTATTATTAAAACACAAACTCGGTGCATTATGCCACACGAAATCGCAGTTTGTGCGAGGGCTAGAATACTATTCGGACGCTCAGATCGAAGCAAGTGGTTGTCTTAAGGAGCCACCTCTGACCTGAAATCTGATCCACGAAGCGGTAGAGTAGCGTCGGGATCTGCGTCCCCATGGTTGCCTGTGGCTAAAACAAGTTTATACGCCACTCGATCCGTTCAGATTCTGGAGCTAATGTATACCATAGGTTTGGGATCAGGTTTTCTCAGTTCTCTTAGGTGTATACCTGCATATTCACTAGTCTGGTTGTTCGCACCTGACGTTCGCATTCACCCCTCCACTTGTGTAAGAAACACCCTCAGCCTTATGGAGGCTATGAATAGGATTTACTTAGAAGAGGCAAAGTATTAATAAAAAAGAAACTCAGTCGCATTACCGAATATCGCATATATTTATAGGAATAATAAAACCACATTAATATGCTGAGACTCTGAAATAATACTATCGTATTCATATTACCGGTGGGAAGATTGTTTACCTCTTATTTCACATCTCTAAGACTAAATTCTGTCCAAGAAAAGTTAGCTAATTGCAGAACACAATAACAATCAAACGATTAAGATTTGAAATTCACCTCAAACAGTGCTTAACGCACCCTGTAACATAATTAGGCTTACCCGAGTAATTCAATTTTCTGCAGTGCTTGTAACAGATCAGAATGCATAGATCTTGCTGACTCAAGTGCATACTTTTGTTCACCGGAGCTAGTAGTTAACAGAAATACAATTTTAAGAATTAATAGGTTTTTCTAAAACAAGAGAATTCAAACAACTAGAGAAAGTACGGTAGAAATGTCATGTACTACAATAACTCTTAATATACATATGGCCACAATGGAAGAGGGAAAAATTACCGAAAGTGTACTACATAAAGGATTTCGTAAATAAAGATGAAACATCAAATGAAAAAAGTCAGATATATGCTATTTTCTAGTAGGTAAGTTTGGTTTAAAAATGACCTAGTACAGCCGAAGGTAGGTAGACTTCAGTCTTCTCATCGAAATACTTTCATCTGATCATGCAAGCATAATATTTTTTTGGTTAAGTTGTGCTCACCACAAGTGGCATGTCTTCTAGAATGAATGCGAATATCCGGCGGTCACCATCCGACTGATGGACATGGAAGATTTACGCCACAGAATGGGAATTTAACATGGTTGTCAGTATGCCATCACCGCCAAAAAGTAACTAACTTAAACTATGATGGTAACTGTTTTAAGTATAACCGATAAACAGTCGACTATTCTAGCATGATGGGACCCGCATGCACATTTGCTCCAACCAATAATGCTCGCTGAGCTACTGTTATACGCAAGCCCGACTACCCAACCTGGCAGCTATCGAGTAGAGCGAAAGTATACAACCACCTACCACGACTCTTCATAACCAAAAGTGGGGATTACAAAAAGTTGTAAAATCTCTCAGACATTTAGCAAAGCCTACATGAAATTATCTTTTACAAACGACTGGAAAGACTGCTATTAAAATTATGAAACAAAAAGCATGTATAGAATGAGCTGGTATATTCTTCTGTCTACGGTAACACTCCAGTATACTTAATATTACACAGCTTTCAAGTGATATTTATCCTAATTAGTTATATTTAACTATGTTGTTTGTTTGCTTTAGACTGAACATAACTGCACGAACTTTTGCTACGTACCTCATAGTACCTACAATGGTCATTTAATAACTTCAGACTTCAGTGTATTTAATCACTTTGGATACATGAGAGATAGAAACTACGCTTCTTTTAACACTAAACATAAGCAGTTATAAATCCATAGCAAAACAACGCTTTCCATAAATGTATCAGCATAGATAATTGTAATAAATGTGACAATTGTCAATTCTGTTATTCAGATTATAAGTTCGATCCCTGACAGAGTCGTGGATGCACAAAAAGTGCTGAGGAGTCCCGAAATGGGACGAAACAACTATTCAGTGCTCCATGGTTCTCAGTGATCTAACTGATATTAGTTCGTGACGAAAAACTAACAACTGAAACTTCTGTTATTCACCGAATATCTAGCTAAAAATTTTTTTTGAAAAACTTACTTAAGACTTTCAGCAATTATACTGTACGAAGGGAGCCATTCACAGACTTTTTGCATTAATTCTTTGAACTCCTAAAAATAGGAAACAGAATCTACTTTCATTGGAATAATCACGTGATATAACTTTCATGAAAAAGGCGTAGTGAATAAAAACATAAATTATATTTTAACCTACGTATTTTCTGTCAAAATTCAGTAATTAGTTCCAGAACCCACTGGTCGAAAGTCAATTAGCCTCATATCCACCGCATCAAGTAGTACGATAATATTAGTCCCTTCATAAAAGCCCATCATGAGAACAATATCGAGAAAGTTGTACTTTTCATGATGTGGTTCCACAGATGTAAAGATCACACGCTAACTAGTGTGATAACAGTTCATTTGTAACTCATTTTGGCTGTTTTATTTCTTGCATATTATATAACGTTGTCATAAGGTTTTATACCGCACAGAAACTTCATTGTGTAACATTAGCTTCACATTTTCTGGATCCGGTTGTCGATCAAAGGACGTGTATACTGCTTAGCAGTTCATTATTTCTTCTTTTATAGTTGTGGGGCATGGCCGTTGAAGGTCGGAAACATGAAAAAGCTAGCTGTCTTTGATCATAAGTGTCTACGTCCCATCTTCCAGGTTATTTGGTATAATCGGGTGAATAATATTTAGGTTATGCATCGAGTGTCAGATAAGGAGGGAAAGTTAATCGATGAGATTGTGAAACTACAATGATTGAGATGGCTAGGACCAGTGCTACGTCTACCCAGCCATCACCTTCCTCAACAGTCAATGTTAGCTGACACAGGATGAGGTTAGAAAAGAGATAGTGGTGGTCAAATGAAAACTTGGGATTAGTCCATGAAATCTTCGACAGTTAGTTTGAGTCACGTAGGGAGGTGTAGACTGCCTGGCTAGGATCCCCAGGATGCTAAGAACCAATAAATGGAGGCGATCGGTGACATGACTGAAAATCGTTCTCAACGGCGCAGATGCACTCACTTTCTCTGTTCTGCCTTATCCGAAAAACCCTAATATTTCTCTGTTACTATTCTTTCCTCCCCCCACACACACACGTGTTTGCTCGATATGGTTTTTTTGAATCTTTTTTCTCTACCTTTGTGTGACAACTCGAACTGATGCACTTCAGTGCAAATTTCTGTGTTGGATCCAGTCAGTCAGTCGCATTTTCTGGCGTGATCGGAACATAATGCAACCGGTATACAAAATAAACAAGTGATTATTCATATGTATAGTAATCGAAGCCAGCAGTTAATTAAAAGACCATGGTACTTTATATTCTCTTAGACTGTAATAAACAGAGTTGGATATATCTCAGGTTCGCTAACTACAATATGACACAATTTACTTTGCTGAAGAAATGTATACACCTTGAATAAATATTCGCAGTTCGTGGAGGTGAAATTTCGCCACAGTTACCTTTGGAAACCAAAATTATTCATATCACAATTTGTAATCACTGGGCCGCTAACGAGAGAAACGACCATCCAGTGTTTAGGTCACTTCGACCTGGTTAACAAACACTGCTGGTTGTCATGGGTGGTTTACAACTACTCAATCAATCAATGGTGTATAGTTTGATGAAATGTATACGTATTTATCTCAAGCACTGATGTCTGTTGCAATGAATTCAAATTGTACATCCATGGCGGAAATCAGTTAAAACTTATAATATGAACTCCTCTTACTCAGCAAAGAAGAACAATTCAACCTAAAAAAGGGAACGTTAGGAAAGGCATTTTCAAAACACTGTCTCACTTCGTTTTTCCACTTACACTGTGCAACCTGCACTACCAACTATAAGTGTGATGAGCAGATACACCGTGAAATCACAGAAGAATGAGAGATGAATATATATATATATATCTTCAAAATGCATTTTGCCTACTCTCGATTTCCAAACAGTTCAAGAGTTATTGATAACCACTTTGTATAGCCATAAGTATCTCTTTCGAGGTCATAATTTAGTGGGACATAATGTTACTCAGCAACTACTTGAAACAGAAAAGACAGGACTCCAGGTGAACATAGACAAGACGGAGGTCATGAAAATAACCAACCAACAACAACAACAACAGCAGCAGCAACATCCAGCGCCAATCACCATCAACGGGAGGGATTTGAAAGAGGTTACTTCATTCACTTGTCTAGGGAGCATTGTCTCAACTACAGGAGGAACGGACGAAGATGTCAAATCGAGAATCGGAAAGGCGAGAAACACATTCATCAACCTGAAACCAATCTGGAAATCTTCGTCACTCAGCATCAACAACAAAATAAGGATTTTCAATACAAACGTCAAGTCAGTTCTTCTATACGGATCAGAAACTTGGCCGGTCATAAAGAATATTTCCAACAGGTTGCAGACCTTTATCAACAACTGCCTTCGTTCTATACTCAAGACCAAATGGCCGGAAAGAATCACCAACAAGAAACTATGGGAACAAACAAAACAAGAACCAATCGCCCAACAAATATGCAGGAGAAAGTGGAGATGGATTGGACACTCGCTGAGGAGGCCGCTGGGTGACATCGCGCATCAGGCCAGTGCTCGAGTGGAGCCCGAAAGGGAAGCGGCGAGTGGGACATCCAAGGGTGACATGGAGGAGATCGTGTGAAGAGGAGCTGAAACAGTATGGACTAACATGGATGCAACCACATCTTCAGCCTTCGAGGTCATATTTACCAATTTTAGAGACTATTTACTACAAAGTGCATGTGGTTCACTGGCGTAAACAGTCGACTTTCAGTCACTGGTTCCTGAGTTCGAGTCCTACTGTATCTACCTTAAACCTGGGCAATTGAGCAACATCATCAGCCCTCACGCAATAAGTGAGACTCTTAGTCTGGTGCATGAAAGAGTTCTACCAACAGACAGTGCAAAACCGCTCAATGACTACCATTGAAAACACCTTGATTATTTATCTTCAAATGTGTGTTACGTTTTCAATATGAAAATCCGTAACTATTTATAGCTGTTTTTCATATACTTGAAAGATCATTTTACCCTTTAGACGAAGTTTTAGGGTTTCATCAAAATAGATAGTTCACCTGAGAGAAAAAACCCGTAGTATTGAAGAATTACAGTTTTATTGCTATTTATAATCTAATATGCTTAGTGCTTAAGCACAACAAATAAGTAAAAATATTTCAAAACACTAGTTTTTCAACAACACTTGACAGTCTGTGTTACAAATTTCCTCCACATTAGACAGGAATTAAATTTACTAAACAGTCAATTATGATACTATGAATAAATTACTTTTAAGCCTTTATGCATATTTTCTGATGGTTCCTTAACAACTTGGAAAAAAATAAACAACAGACTTGCTCTTAAATGCAAAACTTAAAAAAGGTTTACTCGTCCTACTAGGTTTCATTTAGTGAATAAAATCGATCACATTTGGGAATTAAGAAGATATCATCAAAAGATGATGTATACACATAACGTCTACGCCAATCTCTTCATCTGATTATTAAAATATGTTTACTGTATATCTTTGTTTCGTTCATTTCATTTAACTTCATCTTTAAGTAGTTGTATAATTGCATTCAGTCATATCATTTAACATACTTCTGATTATTATAAAACTGACTTACTATATGCATTTGAATAATTGGAGTAGTGACTGATGTATTCCTCAAACTATTGATCTTTTTCTCAAGAACTGCTTTACAGACAGAACATACACGCAGTTCATAATCTAAATAATTAATAAGGTATACATTAATTATGCGTAGTTTTGATTTCAAAAAGTCTAGAGTTGATTACAACAAAGCTGACTGACCAATACAAGGCTACAGCATTAAAATGAGTCACACAGTATTCTGAATATCATTGTATTTTGGGTGCCACTACAGTTGTCCGACCAGAAAAACCTAGAATTCAATATAATTTCACGATAAGTTCCTTGACACTTGAGTAAAATTTGATTCTTATGAAATAAAGTAAGATAATGAGTAACTTCTACCAGTTGGTGCTTTTCTATTAAGAAAAAAGAACACCCAAGCAGATGGTTGTCTTAAGCAACCACCACACACACCGGGGCTTTGACCTGAAATTTGATTCATAAGGTAGTGGAGTATAATAAGGAGTTAGCCCTCCTGGTTTCCAGTGACCGAAACAGGTTCATACGCCATTCTATCCTTTGAATTTTGGGGTCCATCTACACTATATGTTTGGAATCAGGGTTTTCCAACTCCCCTAGGTAAACCTGATTGTTCACCAATCCAGACGTGAGCATCCACCCTTTCACTTTTGCGAGAAATACCCCCCCTCCGCGTGAAGGCAGTGAATAGGACTTACCTGGCGACAGGGCCTATGAACGCGTAGCCGCATCACAGTATTTTGGGAGGAGGACAGAAGTCTACCTACTCTCGACCCTACCAGGTGGTTTATAGGGACAGAAAGAAGAACAGCATGTCTAGAGACCAAAATTTAAGTCTATAAATTAATTCAAATAAGCAATCTTAACTTGTTACCTTACACTAGAAAATGAATCGTGTACTTTACAATCAAATTGAGTCACAGAAAGGTGTACAAATAATAATATAAATAATCCAGAAATGGAAAATATATATTTGACTTCGTTAGATATTTGATGTACTACGCTTTCGATTGCATCGAAAATGTGTTGTTTCATACTACGCCACTTTGTTACATGTTGAAATAGTTATTTGTAGTAGGATTATGGTACAGGTAACCTGGGTGCTTATTCTAGAGATTGTAGCATTTCTGTACGTTTTAATCTTAGTTGTTTGTCTAAGACAAGAATTAACTACTTTAAGATGTCTACTGTGGTTTTTTCATACCACTCAGTTTTAAGTTACCGCTTTATCTGTCTCTGAGACAGTTTAGTAAGTCTTGACTTAATTCCACTGAATCAACTATTTACGCCAAGTTACAGCAAAAATTACTTTTCTAAACTAGGTTGAGTGACATAATTACTTCTTACTTAGTTCAAAGTTGTTATAAATTTGATCAATTTTCCGACTAGAATGAAAACCCTGAAGGATAATCAGAATAGTGGTGTTCTTTTTGGACAACTTTCATTAGATGACAATAAAGCAATCGACTGTTTCTTAAGCCTAAAACTAACTAGTAGACGACAACAGATTATTTAGGTGAAGTGTGAATCTATTTTAATTTTTTGTAGGACGAAGAGCACCATCAAAAGTTTTTTAAAAAAACCCTCAGAAACAAGGCACACAAACGCCATTCAAATAGTGATTCTAAGAAAAGTAAACAAGTTAGTGCGTTATAATGAGTTAGAAGAAACACCTACCTCCAGCAGCGAAACGAATATTCCCAGGCCGAAACATATTTTCCGACTCGAGACAACGATCAGATTCGTTACCTGTGTCAGTTGTGTTCACAGAACCTGGAAATATATCTAGATCTTGTCCATTCAGAGCATTTAGAAGACTGCGAGCTTTATTTACAGAAATGAAATAACTGCAGTCGGCACACAAAATGGATCCACACAGACGACAGTGATGTCTTCGACGATAGATAGGATTGTAGTCCAAAATGGCGTTTGTTAGGCGTGTTACATTCGTTTTGCTTAGCCAATATTTAGAAATGCTATTCGACGTGTTTTGTGAAGAATCCAAGCAATCGTCATCTTCATCGGGATAAGCCATTTCAGTTCCTAAACCAAATGCTTTGCCACAGGATGGACAAAGGTCCACTTTTGCATTAATCCATGGTACAATTGTTTGTTCAAATGCTAAAATTAAGTTAGCCGCTAAAGTAAAGATTACCCTTTCTATCACTTTCATGTGCGTCAGCCACTTCAATTAATTTCTCTAGACGTATTAACAAACTATTTGTTTCCGCTGAACTACGGTTAACATGACATTTACGCAATTCCAAGAACTTCGAAGTTAGGGAATGACAGGTGCCTAATTTGTTAAAACATCTTTTTGAAACAACTTACCGACTGGCTGATTATCATCTTTTCGATCATAAAAAGCGAACGAATTTTGTAACTCGAATTGTGGTCTAAGGACTGACTGCGTTATTGATACATTTTCTGCTGAAAGCTAACATGGTCACAATAATTCGAACCTTCGCTTTCTGCAATACCAGAGTTCTGATGTTCTAATATGAAATGATGGCTCAGTAAATCAGGTGTTCCGAATGTAAGCATACATTTTGGACAGATAAATCCTTCCAAGATTGTCTCAGCAAATGGATTAGCCATAAAAATACAGCGGAAGGCGAAAGCAGCTAGTTTTGATTGACTGATTATTAGTCAGTAAGAATAACGGTAAAGATTATTGGCTAAAATTAACAATTAAAAATAAATGCTTGTGTATGACTAAAAACAAAAGCTTCGTTGGTTCTTTGAGAAAATCTTCGCTCGAATATTTTGCATTATGAACCACAAAATAAAACATTTGGTTAAGGAACAAAATATTACTGGTTTTTTTCGTAATTAAACTAAACCACTACGGTAACACTTTGAAAACAATCTGCTCTTGTCTGCTTTCTGGACATGATGGTCACGTTGGCCTACTGCAAAGAACACACAAAAATACAGAATGAAATGCTTTTTTCTGAATACCGCTCCCCTTAATTCAGACTGCGTAGTATCATCAGCTTTTACACTATAAGTGTAAATGATAGTGTCGTAAATAAAAAGGTTGTCTTCGACGACTTATTTCAAAATTAGCTGGTAAATCCGTGGAAATGTGAGCATCTGGTTTCTTTCGATGTTATCTCCCTACTCAAAAATGTTCCAGTCGTTGAAACTATTGACTTTATATGTAGAGAAGCTGAAGACATAGCCACCCCAACATCAGAACTGAAGGAATTGTCGCTTTTATGTACGTCCGATTCCAATTTGATGGGCGTCTATTCCGTCAAGTTGATAGTGTTGCAATGGGAAACCCCTTAGGACCACTTTTCTCAGATTTAGTCTTGTCAGGCGTAGAAGCCGGTATTTTGCAACAGCATAAGAAACAAAGGGAAGTATGCCTAAGATATGTTGATGATACTTTTATAGTCTGTGGGAGCAGATGAAAGGCCAGAGACCTGTTGATAAAATTCAACTCATGCCATCATAATCTCAACTTCACAACAGAAGACGAGGAAAATGGTACTATTGAATTCCTAGACGCTTTTCTAGAGAAAAGGACTGATAGCACAATTGAAAGACCTATATTTAGAAAGTCTTCATGGACAGGACAGTACATGCATTTCAGGAGTTTTGTTTCAATCCAATAATAAAAGAACTTAGTCAGAACACTGTTCAATATAGCACGAAAAATATGTTCTGACAATACAATTGAGCATGAAATAAAAGCTCTGAGGGATATTTTATCTAGGAATGGATATCCTTAGAAGTTCATTAATAAATACTCTAAAGAAATGAGCCCCTGAGAAACCATCCAAACAGTTCCGAAGAAATCTGTCTATTTCAGTTTGCCATTCAAAGGAGATGATGTACAAGAGGTAGTCAAACGAAGAATAGATAAAGCTATGAAGAGAACTTATCATGCTACAAAACTCGTCTTCCTTAACACCACCAAGCCAATGCTTCAACAATCTGGGGAAGACCAGTCACCAATCCTCGACACTTCAGACTGCGTATATCAATTTGTTTGTGGAAGCAAATACATAGGTCGTACAGAAAGGCGACTGTCTACTAGCATGATGAAGCATTTGCTAAAATGGCTGAAAAGAGCTGAAGTCAAAGTGCCAAAAACCTCAATAACAAAACATCCTGTGGAGTATGGACATGATATCGACGCTGTCAAGTCATTCACTATTGTCAGCAGACAAAGAAACAGGAAGATGCTTGCGATGGCAGAGGCTTGTGCGATTCGAGTTTATAAACTAGGTCTCTGTGTACAAAAGGAAATGACCGTCAATCTGAATCTAACATGGTAATACGTTTTACTTATTATCTGTTATTATTATTAATAATAATATTAACACTTTATTCTGCCTCTTACTATTTTTCCTGATTCATTTAAAACTATCTTTTATCAGTAGCATTCTCTTAACTCGTTTCAACATTATTATTACTAGTATTACTAATATTACTCAGTTCGCAATTATTGATACATTTAAGTTATTTCTCTGATTACTATTTGTTTATCTAAGTAATGTAATTGAACCGTAATGTACTTTATCTTATCTCACATACTCCCTTCTCCTTATATATTTGAACATGGCCTGAAAAAAAATTCACACGTCTCGTTTTGCATGATTAATTCAATGTGGTTTATTTTCTTATCAATATTATATCCCCAATGTATTTCTAAAATGTATATATATGCAGAGTATTCAGCAGGAGAGTTCTACAGAAATTTGGTGAACTCATTAAATCCTGCTTTATTCATCTGTGTTGCTTGTTTGTATCGGGAAGTAAATGTCTCCAAATTGATGACAATCTAAAACAAAATAGGTTTCACCAGATCCTTAGGCGAAAGTAACTGATGCAGAGTGACAGCATACAATCACCCATCACCACTCTCCCCAAACAAAACTGTGTTAAATAAGGTAAGACAATCTCGCTATTTCTTTTCCAATTTGACAACGATTACGTTTTGAAGACAGTCTGGAAGCATGTATATGGAGGTGGTGATGAAGATCTATTACTTGGAGACTTTTCAACCTCGAATAGGCAGATGATATGGTCTTAGTGCACAACAACACAGGTTACTCAAATCGCAACTAACTAGTCGCTAATGAGTGCACGTAGGTATGGCACAACCTTTGCACAGTCCAAGTGCGAATTACTGTTACATAATTGGTAGGAGACCATATCAGCAGTCATACATGAAAGTGAACTTTTAGGAGAAATCGAAAGATCGTGGAACTAGATATGTGCGACTGCTGGAGGACATGTGGTGGACGTAACTTTGAACCGTATAACAAAAACCAGAGAAGAATATGCTGATAACGGTTACCTCGCGCTATTATGACGTCATTTTAGCCAGCGAAGGTCAGCTTTAAAACGCCATCCAGTTCTACACTTGTGACACGTGGCCTAACCGGGCGGCTCTGCATGTTCAATAACCGCTTTATTCGTAGAACTATTTACATTTTGTGGCTTCCATGGTCCAACGGGGTGTCTTTGGATATTATGGAAACACAATTTTAAAAGGCGATGTCATATCAGTATATTATCTTCAGCGGTTTCGACGTATTACAAGTGTCATCTCAGAAGCCTTAACACAGTTAACTGACGGTATTTGGCATCTGATGAAATTCGCAGAAGTGGTCACCGATTGTGTTGGGACGTAAGGTGAAGGATTGTCGTGTTAGGTTATAATCTACCAGAGCATCACAAACTCCTGAGTGAAATGCAAAAGATCATGCGACTCAGACCACGGCAAATTGAACTGCTGCAATTTATACAGAGTTCAATGTTGACAATTAAGTCGTATAGAGAAGTAAGTCATATTAGTAACAGTCATTTTCTGGAGACAGTCGGTAGACTGACCAACTGATAAACTTTGCACCGACTTGAATAAGTTTCAGCCGCCGCGCTTCCAAAAGGAAACACCAAAGGAAACAGCATAAAATTGGGATGATACGTTAGTAAAAAAAAGTGGCATGGGAGAGAGAATAGTTTAATAAAGACCAGTGAGAATACACAGAATTTTGAAAAATAGTAAAAATATCTGCGTCACTGCGAGCTATTTGTACCATTTCATCAATAATCTTAAATGCATTACTTCCAGTATCCAAACGACCACGGCTGGATAACATCCATCTACCAATGTGGGGCCAGGACTTCATTATTCTGACCACTACCACTACTGCAACATGATGACACCATCTAACATTTCTGGTCAGCTAGACGGTGATCCGAAGGCGTTACATATGTTCCAGGCAATTTGTTTGGAAAAGATTCACTACCTCTTATTATGAGCTAGTGAATCTTTTCCAAAGTGATAACTATAGTAAGCTTATCACTTTGCTTAACACAGCTAGTTTCCCAGTTACTTATTATGTTATCTCATCTGATGTAAGCAAACAAACGACAGCAATAATGATGAAATGTCTGCAATCTTTTTATGTCTTCTGATTGTAATGTATACGTCTCATAAATGTAAAATGGAATGGGACGTAGTGTGCATGCCCTTTGACGGGTAGCCGCATGCCTGGGTGGTGCGAATTGACAAACGCAAAATAGCTTATCGTGTTCCCGTCGAAATTCCATAGCAACCACTCTATCAGCGCCAATGCAGCTTCCCAAATAAATAAAGTGATGGGCAAAGTCAATCAATTCACTGTCTATCTTAAATTGGGAATAAGTGAAAACCAGTCCAACAGAATCAACATACATTAGACGCAAGTGAACAGCAAGCTAATTATGATCAGATTCCTATCAAGCACATAAGAATAGAACTTGGGCAATGTGGCAGAGTACAACTCCATTGTGGAGAGATTTTTATTTTGATGAATTCTCGGTGTTATACAGTAATATTTACTGATGACGTTTCCATCACAATTTGTCGCTCATAATCATATCAAGTTAAACAACTTTCCGACTTTTTTATATAATCCCACTATCTCCCATATCTTGAAAATAATAATGGAGCCATATAAACCAAGTCGGAAAGTTGTGTGAGTAGCTTGATATGATTATGAGCGATAAATTGAGCTAGAAAGGTCATCAGTAAATATTGCTGTTTAATACTATGAGACGTTATCAAGATAAGAATCTCTCTATAATGGAATTAACCGGATAAGGATGTCTGAAATATTTTATGGAGTCGTTCCCCCGATAAAATAATATTGTGTGAATGTGAGTTGAGAGGTTATTTTAAAGTATTGTCAACCTAACCACCCGATTGCTGGGTACAGGTGTAACAATAAGAAAACGCTTTTAATCGCTGAATTATACGGACAAGTAATTGAATCATATGTGGTCGGTAACTTGCACTCAATTAGTAGTGCTTTCACTATGTAATAGTTGGTCCTTTTGCTACTTATTTGAGGTATACACAATAACTAGTAACTCCTGAGATACTACCCAAAGAGTATTCGATAGTCGAAAGGGATTCAACATACATGCAACAAATCCCCCCCCCCATTATTTGACTTATTTAACCTTGTCGATGTAGAAATCTCAATGTGAAATATGTAACAATACCAAATCAAATAATCATGGATTCCTGAAGACCTTACATTGTATGAGATTGGTACAACATTAGGGGAACACGGGAAACCTGGACTTCACATGGAATACACCATCTCTGAGAGCTCCAATTATCATATTATCAAAAACCAATTAGTAGATTTCAAACTACATTAGATTAGCGATGAGGCGTCTTTCTTCTGTAAATTTGTAGCACCTGCTCTTCAAGGTTGAACCAGCATAAAGAGTGACCAGGAAAAAAGCTAACCAAGTGACAAGAATATAGCAATAGTGAAGGAATAACACTAGGATACCTTTTATGAACCCAGTCGGGCAAAGTGGTAACAAATAGGTTAATAATGGAGAAATGATGTACATGTCCAGTAGTAAGAAAATGGGCGAATTTTCGCTATATAAATAGATTTATACCATTTTCACTATTATTTCGCTAATGTGACCACTATTAGGACGAGATCTGCCTATTATTTTATCATTCTTAAGATTTGCCTTTCAATTATTACTTAAACTCCTCGCTCATTCTTCTCCGATAGGAAAATTAACACAGGATAATCTAAATAGTGCTATGTTGTATATTACAGTGACCAACAAAAATGAAAAATCTTATGAGAAACGGAGTCGAGGGTTGCATAAACTGTTTTGAATAAGAGATACTACAATCCAGTTCTTCTAAACAAATACATATACGTGTACAACGCCTGGCCAAACCTATTTGGCAAGGGATGAAAAAACAGTAACGATTTGGTCATATCCTAAACTTCTAATCGTACGTTGACTTAAGGGTAAATTTACGCCTGACTATACTCATACAGTACCGCCCTAATCGGAAAATTTTGGGACCAACCTTAAGGTACATTTTCACATAGTGCGCTGCGGTATGTAATATGTTCGAAAGCCAGTTTGTCCAATATCAAACAGATTTGTGAACTTCTTGTATAGACTCACTGCTTCAACTTCTTTTTGAATACTTTCAGATTTTTTGAGGACTCCTATGTACTAGGTCTGTCCGACCGCCTGTTACAGCTCTGTTGAAGGTAGTGAGGTGGTAGATGTTGGTTCATTTTATTAGGGAGTGAATGTTCGGTCTCAGAATGCTATTATCTTGCTGCCCAATTCCCCTGCACCTGCGAAGCGAGATATGCAGGTCATTTGGATGCCTGTTTTGATGTGAAAGCTTCAAGAAGCATCATCTCATTTAGGTATATAAGGGTAATACCAGACTTTTCCATGCATTTTGAGACCAAATATTCACTCCCTAATAAAATGAACCAACATCTACCACCTCACTGCCTTCAACAGAGCTGTAACAGGCGGTCGGACAGACCTAGTACATAGGAGTCCTCAAAAAATCTGAAAGTATTCAAAAAGAAGTTGAAGCAGTGAGTCTATACAAGAAGTTCACAAATCTGTTTGATATTGGACAAACTGGCTTTCGAACATATTACATACCGCAGCGCACTATGTGAAAATGTACCTTAAGGTTGGTCCCAAAATTTTCCGATTAGGGCGGTACTGTATGAGTATAGTCAGGCGTAAATTTACCCTTAAGTCAACGTACGATTAGAAGTTTAGGATATGACCAAATCGTTACTGTTTTTTCATCCCTTGCCAAATAGGTTTGGCCAGGCGTTGTACACGTATATGTATTTGTTTAGAAGAACTGGATTGTAGTATCTCTTCTTCAAAACAGTTTATGCAACCCTCGACTCCGTTTCTCATAAGATTTTTCATTTTAGTTGGTCGTCTCTATTCAGAACTGATTTTATTCTTCTGCTATATACAAACTCATGCATTATATATGATTATAGTTAGCTGCTTTCACACAGCCCTGTGAATGAACCTGCTGAAAGCAGACTCTTTCCTAAAGTATTTTTTTCTGGGTTCTAAAATAGTGAGCTTGGGAAATATCTCAAGTGGTAATTCTCTGAATGTTTCGATGATCAGATATGTAAAGCGGGCAGATTAAAAAAGAGTGGATTTGAAGTGAGATGACTAGATGTTGGATAGAATAAAGCAGGCGGAGTTATCAGTGGAAACGATTGAAATAGAGAACAAAATAAGTGGTTTGTCGTCCTGGGACAATTGTGTTATTAATGCAGTCTACCAGTTGGATGTACTCACTGCGAGCTTCTGTACCCATTTAATCTTTCCATGAGTCTGCGAGTTAACTGTCCGGTGATCACCTCAGGTGGCAGCCAACTCCATTAAAATGGTTTCTAGAGAAAAAAGGTGGGCCTAAACATGTAGTGCCTACTTTGACGGGTAACTATTCTCGAGCGTACTCAGGGATTACCATATTGTTCATCAGATAACATGTCTGTATTTTGGTGATTTCTGTTGTCCATTATTTCATAAGCTTTTCACTTTGTGCTAGTTGAGGGTACAGCAGTTAATCATCCAAAGTTCGTTTCCTCAAGGTCCATTGGCGCTACTTGTAGTCATTGAATGCAGTCTATAACAGTGTCACCTTTCTTCAACCGTGGTAGCGCGGGGACATTATAATCTTCGAAATGCGGCCTGATATACACCACATACATCCGTTCAAACATTTCAAGAGTGAGCGTACTTAGGTGCCTGACTCAAAGTTGACTTAAAGCAGTTCCCCGTGTAGTTAATTCATGTTCCCGACTCTTCAGTTAGGAGTACTTAAAAACTTCAAATTGTTGCGTCAGATAGTTTGATTCTGAATAAAGAGCTAGGCACTTTGTGTCACTGCTAAACAAAAAACAGAAATCCCCAACATCACAATCAAAAATAAAGCTGAGAGATGTTAAAACCACATGACAGAGACAGAACTTTATATCCGTCCCAAAAAGTTGGGCTTTGCGCCATCAAAATGAAAAGATTGAGGGACTTGAGTATAGCCCATCGAACAGCAGTAACGACAGACGCAATAATTCGAAGTGATTTATCTCGCTTCGTTGGCCAACCTCACCTAGTTACGTACCGCAGCCCAGCGATCAGTAGCTATACTGTAACAACATCACCATTTTGTTATTCAGGTTCAAAATGTGATCAGCAACATAGTATAACTGCTTACTACTCTCAACAGATATTGACTCCAAATATAGATATGTCGGCTGAAACACCAGTGCCAATTACTACGTGAAACGCACCTTGTGTGATACAGGTAACCCTGTTCTTCATCAGCGACTCCCTTCCTCCTCTTCTGCTGACAGTCAATCTTCCTTATCCCCTAATTCACAGGAAAACGTAAATATTACTGACCACCTCTGCACTTCTTGGCTTCCCACCACTTCTACATACATAAACGTTGCATTGTCGTCCGAGAACAATATGGATGTGTCTCATCATCATTTACTTCAAAACATGACAAAGCTCCTACGACATGACTCAGCTAATTGTAGTGCAGTTCTTATTTACACTAGGCTGGCTGAAACAAGATGACATACACTCAATTGCTAATGTTGATAAACCAAGCCACAGCACCAACGGTTACTGAGACTTGGTGCACAACTGGACTAATGATGTTTTGTTTCACAGTTCAGGTCATTTATTCTTCAGAAAGAAAAGAGCGTGGTGGAGGATACATTGTCTACATTAAACCTGATGGCAAAGCTGTACATTACGATGGCTATGAGGGGGACCAACGAAGTTCGTCAACTCGATTGTACCCCACCTATTTCACTACCGACAACCAAATTGTTTACCTGTGCGTGCTGAAACACATGGTGATAATTTTTAAGGGACAACAGTTCGGCAGGTTCGTTGTGGTGCGATTATCTACTTGTGCACTCTTCAAATCGTCGTCAGCAAATATGCCTTCCAGCAGCTGTAGATGTTATATTTTTTTCTATTTGGGGCGGTGTTAAGGGCAGCCTGGACACCAGGTTAGGCGGGCCAGGCTAAAGAATCAGCAGGTAGAATGATTAGCGCTTATGTCTAGCAGGACTGATGCCCACGCCTCAGTCGTGGGCGTTATTTCCAGTCGAAACCATCTGACAATAAGGCAAGTCATTCAAGAAGCCTAACTAATTGTTTCTTACAACCGGAGGCTGGATACATGAGACAGACTACGGGTGCGTCTCTACACCAAACATCATACCCTGTCATTATGATGCATCTCTCTCCCACCTAACCACGCCAGTGAATTGCTGAATGAAATAACTTCAGTCTCTCACTACACTTCGCAATTAAACTCCACTTACAAAGTCATTGCGGGTGATTTCAACATGCCTGAAGTCTTGTGGAGCCTGATTAGTGCCTTGTCTCACTACATCTGTTTTTTAGCTGCGGTAGAGGGCGGACACAAACATTATAAAGCCTACTGAAGTCGCAGTATAGTGGACTTCGTTTTCCTGAAAGACATCTGCTAACTACTATGCATACCAGCCATCCATTCTCATGTTGTGACCATAACACCAGAATCTGCTCATTCAATACTTGCCTTCATTTATTAAGATGCCATCTCTGCGCACAACGTTCATGCCGTTTGGAAAGGCTAGGTACGATGTATCCATCTAATTCATACGAAGCCTAGACTGGAATTTGTTATTTTGTACTAGCATCTTAAACACTATTCTTCTAGCCTTTAACCACAATGTATCGATGAGCTTTGATAAATGTGTTCTCAAATGTAAAGAGAACTCAGGCCAAAGTGCGAAAATTCAGTCATCGAAAGATGGGGACAAAACTAAAAAGACTAGCGACAGTATCACAAGGGAAATAACTTCTTATGTCCAGCAAATATACAAAATGTTAAACTTAAAAGAAAAAAGCCACGAAATCTTACTCATAGAGGAAAATAAGGCTCTTGAAGATAGACCTATACATGCTGCAATCCGTAGGATTTATCACAGAAGCCCAAACTCCCCAAAAAGCTTACATACCTATCATTTTAGATGCCAAGACCATTACTGACCCTAAAATAACTTGTGGATTTTCAAACTCCCACTTGCCACAGTCCTCTAGATGCTTGCAATGCTCCAGACAAGCTAAACTGTGCCAACTCTATTAAATGAGGTTTGTCTGATGCTCTGTATATCAGTATTCTACTTATCTTGCAAATACTGTTGATAAAACGCAAATTGAAAAGACTCCGGTAAACAGTTATATGCTCTTTTGAGCTGTATATTTGGTAATAATAATAAGTCAAAATAATTCTAGAAAAACTGTGTGTTAACCTGTCTATTGTGAAAGGCTGTACAGCCAACTGAGAGAGTGTAACTGTCCATTAGATAGGCAGAGAGCGCGAAAATGATGTTGGCAACAGTCTGTATGTGTATGCGTTAAAACAAGTCTTGAAAGTTGGAATGGGCATTACACTTGTACGCTTGTGATAATATGCGTCGCCACAGCCTCCATTCTCCTCACGTTCACCGAGATCTTTAAAAATTATCGGCTTTTAATTGTATAATATTGATAAACTGAATGCTTCTCTCAAACGTTCAAATACCCCTAGTACTAATATGATCCCTTTAAATTTTTTAAAATACGGTGGTGGAAGATTTTCATTCTTCTTCCTAAAACGTTCTCTACCTGTCTATCAACTGGAGCGTATCCAGCTGCATGGAAAACCGCGCACATTACCCCTACGTATAAGTCAGGCCCTCGTTCAGGTTCTGCGTTACTGGTGCACAAACCTAACTCCCGTTATTTCGAGGGTTCTTGATTGTGAAGTGTCACTTTTTACTTCCTCTCTGAAAAGAAACTCATCACTCCTCATGCAAATGGCTTCATGAAGTTCAGTTCTTGCACGGCATGCCATACACAGTTTTGATCCGATATTAAACTCAAGGATTCCGGTATAGTCACAGGAATAGTCTACCTAGACCCTAGTAAAGCCTTTAATAGAGTGAGCCACCAACCTTTATTTCCAAAAGTCCATTCCTATGGGATTTAAAGTTTATTATTAAATTAGCCCAACTC